ACCTATGGCTCCCCAAACAGCTGCTGCTCCATGAGTGAGGGTCAGAGAGACACCAGAAAGCTATCCAGGACACTCTTTAGGAAACACCCCAATGGCTAACTAATGAGGACAGTATGCCCAGCCAGCACAGACTATACAAAAAAAAAAAAAAAAGCCAATACTATGAGGCTGGGAGATGCCCAACAAGAAAAAGGGAGTGGCCCTAAGTTCCTTGCCAAGCACTGAACCAGCCAATGAGACATGGACCAAATCAGACAGACATACAGAATGCAGGAGAGGTAAAAAGCCATGTGACAGAACATAAATTAATAGAAACAGGTTAATTTAAGTTATAATAGCTAGCTGGGGACAAGCCTAAGCTAAAGGCCAAGCCTTCATAATTAATAAGAAGTCTCCATGGCATTAATTGGAGGCAAATGATCCAAAGATAATCCAACAAGAAAGCTTGCTATAGAAAACATTTAATTTGGGTGGCTCACCTACAGTTTCAGAGTTCAGTCCATTATTGTGATGATGGAAGCACAGTAGTGTGCAGGCAGACATGGTGCTGGAGCAGACAGTGCTACATCTTGCAGGGAACAGGAAGTCAACTGACTCACTGGGCGGTATCCTGAGCATAGGAAACTTCAAAGCCCACCCCTACAATGACACACTTCCTCCAACAAGGTCATACCCACAAAGCCACACCTCCTAATAGTGCCTCTCCCTGTGAGATTATGGGGGCCAATTACATTCAAACTACCACATTCCACTCCCTGCTCCCCATAAGCTTGTAACAATATCATAGTGCAAAATGCACTCAGCCCAACTTCAAAAGTCCCTATAGTCTCTCATGGTCTCAACAATGTTTTAAAGTCCAGAGTTCAAAGTCTCTTCTGAGATTGATACAAACTCTTAACTGTAATCACCTTTAAAAAAATAAAATAAAAAAGCAAACATACTTCCAACATATAATGGCACAGGACATAACATTACCATTCCAAAAATGTAGGGGAAGGGATGATAGTGAGAAAATACTGGACCAAAGCAAGACCAAAAAACCAGCTGGGTGAACTCCAAACTGTGCTTCTCCATGTCTGATGCCAAAATGCTCTTCAGATCTCCAACTCTGTTCAGTTTTGTTGACTGCAATAGTCTTTCTCTTGGGCAGAACTCCTAGGCAAGTATCCTATGACTCTGGCATCTCTAACATCTTAGGTTCTCCTAGGCAATCCAGGCTTCAACTTCACAGCTTCATGAGATGGCCTCTACTGGGTCTCCATTCAGAGACACCCCTGACATATGCCTGGCCTTAGCAGATTTAGTCCTCAACTCTAAAGCCAGGACCACACGGCCAAAGCTGCCGAGTTCTGCTGCTCGCTGGCTCCTCATTCAACTACGCCTTCACCAGCTTTCTGTCTTTCACTACCCAATCTTGGCTGTCCTGAGACTCGCTCTGTAGACTCAGAGATCCACCTGCCTCTGCCTTCCCAGTGGCAGGATTAAAGCTGTGCCCCACCACACCCAGCTCTAAGCTTTTCTTTGGTTTCTTTCCACGAGTTGGAAAGTTAACTGGGTGGGATCTTGCCCTGAGGTCACCACTCCCTTTATTCCATTTCTTAATCCATCTTTCTCCTGGAACACAGGATTTAGCTCCATCCCACTCCCTGATGCTCTTTTCATCCTCAAAATTATTTTGTGATTTGCCCTGCTCGGCTTGCTTCTTTTCATCATAAATCTTCATTAGAGTTACCACTCACATCCACACAACAGAATCTATAGCTAGGCTGTTTTGAGATTTGTTCTGCCAACAGAATTAATCCAGAACTCTGCACTTTAGCCTTAGGCAGACTCTTTGGATAAGGACAAATGCAGCCACTTTCTTCACCAAAATATCACAAGAACAATCAATCTCTAGTCAACATACCAAAATTCCTCTCCTCTGAAACCTCTTGAGTGATCCCCAACAATTCAAATAACTCTTAGCATTTCTGTCTTCCATGCTCCTACTAGTATGGCCCTTTAAACTGTGCTTAAAGCATTCCACTGCTTTCATAACCCAAAGTACTTGCAAAGTCTAAATGCCTTCAAACAAGCACATGGCCAGGCTTTGCACAACAATACCCCACTCTTAGTACCGATTTCTGCCTTCGGGTTTTCATTGCTGTGAAGGGACACCATGACTATGGGCAACTCTTATAAGGAAAACATTTAATCGGGTGGCTCACATACAGTTTCAGAGGTTCAGTCCAATATCATCACGGCTGAGAGCGTGGCGGTGTGCAGGCAGATGTGGTGCTGGAGCAGAGAATGCTACATCTTGCAGGCAACAGGAAGTCAACTGACTCACTGGGAGGTATCCTGAGTATAGGAAACCTCAAAGCCCGCCCCCACAGTGACACACTTCCTCCAACATACCTCCTAATAGTGCCACTCTCTTTGAGATTATAAAGCCAATTACATTCAAACTATCACCGCATGTAAACAATTTTTAATAAAATGTCTTTCTTGTATTCATTCTTTGACAACATGCAAACAATGATATTGGTCATGTGCACCCCACGTCCTCCTTCCCAATCTCCCATGCATCATAATATGTGCCTTCCAGCATTCTCCTGTTTGGTTTTTGTTTTATTGGTTTATTTTTTGTTGAGACAGAATTTTATTTTGCCCAAGCTGGCCTAGAACTCACAGAGATCCCCATATCTCCGTACTCTGAGTGCTGGGATTAAAAATCAGCTATTTTATTAACCAATGAGAATAAGGCATATTCACAGTTGAGTCTCTGCATTAACTTCAGGCCACTGCAGAGAAACTACTATCTACTCTGGCCAAGGTTGAAGACAGCACTGACTTATGGATGCAAACATAAATATTTAGAAGGCATCATGTCCATTTAGCAAAACAACAGAAGTTCGTCACTAGTTTCTGTGACCTACCCAGCTATGGACTTCTGACCAGGTTTGTAGTGTAGGCCTGAATCCCTATCTGTGGAGAACATCACAAGCCAAGAAGTGGTTCACTATCCCCATAGCCTTTGTGCTGCTATTGCAACAATGGGCACACCTTGCCAGGCAGGTCAATGTTATAGTATGCAAAGTATGCTGGGATACCATTGATGTTCTTACTACACAACTCAACTGGCTAAACTGCTATATTAATAGAAGTCTTTAGTGGCTGCAGAAATGGCTCAGTGAATAAAAACAAGTACTGCTCTTACAGAGAACCAGGATTTGGTTCATAGCACCTACTTCAGGTAATTTTCAATTCTCTTTAAGTACAGCTTCAAGTGGTATGATGCCCTCTTCTGGCCTCCTCAGGTACTGCACTCACATGAACACATATACGCAAATACACATGCATATATTTTTAAAAAAAGAAAAAGTCAGTCAAATGTGGTGAACATCTGCAATTCCAGCACGAGAGACAGAGACAAGGGATTACATATTGAACATCATCTTTGGCTATATAGTGAGTTCTCTGCTAGCCTTAGGTACGTTACTTCCTGTCTCAGACAATAAAAATAGGATCTGGTGAGATAGCACAAGAGGTAAAGGTGCTTGCTGAGGCCTGAAGACCTGACTTCAATCCAAGAACCCAGCAGGCAAAAGCAGAGAAACAACTGCATAAAGCTGCCCTCTATCACAAGTGCACACATAATAACAACAATCTGTCTCTGTAGCACAGTGCTTGTGTGCCATATGTGAAGCCCTAAATTTCAATCCCCAATATACTGCCAGATATACAAGATGAAGATGATGATGATGATGGGCAGGGGCAAGAAGATCACAAGACTTCAAGGCCAGTCAAGACTGAGACCACACCTCAACCAAAACATGGTGATACTGAGGGAAGGTACTGAGGAATGCTAGAAAAATGGCTCAGTGGATGTTGCTTCAAGCTGAAGATCACAAAAACAAAGCAGTTGGTCACTAATCCTTACCTCTACCTCAGGCTGAAAAGGGTGATCCAGGAGATCTCCTCAGCATAACTGGAGATTTTGATGTCTTCCTATCCTCTGTGTTAAAGGCGTGTGGTCCCAGCTGCTGAGATCATCTTTGTGTGAGCTGTTTCTCTTTAGGATTGGATCAGTCTTGTGTAGATTTGGTTGTGCTTGGATTCAGAAATCAGTCTGCCTCTTAATCCTGAGTCCTAGGATAAAAGGTGTGTACCACCATCTCCCAGCTTTCGGCTGCTGGGATTAAAGGTATGTGCCTGGTTTCTTTGGCTTGTGGCTGACTTTGCTTTCTGAATCCTCAGGCAAGCTTAATAAATCATGAATAATATCACCACAGGATCAAGCACTTGCCATAAATATATGAGGACCAGATTTCAGACCCCCAAACCCATGCAAAGCCAGACACAGTAGTGCACATCTGTAACCCTAGCATGCCTAAGGTGAGATGGACAGGAGACTGTCCAGAGCTCACAGCCAGCTAGCCTGGAGTCTAGGGAAGGCAAGGACTACCACCTAAGGTTGTCCTCAGACCTTCACTCACATAAGTAAACCTGGGCATGGTGGTGCACACTGTGATTCTAGCACTTGGGAAGAGAATCAGGAATTCAAGATCAACCTCAGCTTAGTGGGGTCAAGGCCAGCTTTGGCTAGATGTCTGAAGGGGAAAAAAGTTAATTTTAACAAGAGTAACTAGTCACCAATGGCATCTTCAAACATTAAAAGTGAAGCATTTGTGGAATGTACCAAGTTCCAGGGTTGGGGTTTTGTTTTCTAAGACAAGGTCTCACCAGTGTTGGCTGGCCTAGAACTCAGAGATCCACCTACTTCCACCTGCTGATGCTGGGATTATAGATGTAAGCAACCACACCCAGCTCTTTAGGTTTGATTTGAACTATTCTACCATTTCAGGCAACAGTTGTAAGAAGTTTTTAAGTCTGTCTTTCAGAGACATGAAACCGAGCTGACCATCGCTCAGCTCCTTATGTGTAACAAATGTTCCCATGCTATGGAAGTGCCCGCAATGCACACATACACTTGTTTTAAATTAGACATCGTTCATGACTCTATTCCAAAGCATTTTATTGTTCTTTAAAAAGGGAATGTGCATGGCTAACAGTCATGACCTCTGGCCCCAGCCCCAGCAGCAGACAGTGCCAGAACCCCAGGAGCGCCTATCTTAAGGCCTCTGTTTCTCAGTCCTCACCTGGCCAGTCCCATAGGCCAGCTACAGCATCTGTTCACTTCCTAATAACTCCCAAACCAGCCTCGACTGCACCTGTGCACACAAACCATCTAAGCCCCAAGTCATTCAAAGGTTACATGGTTATGCACATTTACAATACATAGAAAAATAATAATTAGGATTTATACAAATTAGATTTTTACAAAACAATGTCACTACAAGAAAAACATCTTACATCCAAGCACGAAAATGTGGACACACACATGTGGAAATGAAGCTGAGAAGACATTTATTTCAGAGTGCCGGGTGGGAGGCACAGGAGCCGGGGGAGCTCTCTTTAATGACACACACCAAGTTTGAATTTGCCAGCAGAAGTCTCCCATCCCTTTTCTAGCTTCCACGAAGCTAGAGGGCTCACACAGCTGTTCCTCTCTCCAGGTTCTGCTTGATCTCAGCTGTGTACTTCCCGTAGAACCTCTCTGCTTTCTTGTTAAACTTGGCATTCCTCTCATTAATGTAGTCAATGTCGGCATCATCATTGTAGGGACGTCTTCGGCTATATTTGTCTCTCTTTTCAATTCTGGGGCAAGGAAGAGAATTAGGAGGTTCAGAATCACCTTCTCTAGACCTCCTCAAGCTCAAACTCAAAGATCCGCCTGCTTCTGCTTCCCAGACCCTAGGATTGAAGGCGCTGACCACCATGGATGGTCTTAACTGCCTTCTTTGATCTTAAAACATGGACACAAAGTTCAGCAGAGAATCAGCGCTCATAATACAACACCTTGGGAAACAGAAAAGTAGGTGCACTTTTCATCCACTTCAGATGGTGATCTAATTAATAGAACCTCAGTATGAGCGATGAGATCCAGCAACTGCAGCCTGTGCTCACAGGACTTCTGGACATCTTCATGGAAGCCCACACATGTAATCTGAGCAATCAGGGAGCAGAGGCTGGAGGACAGGTGACATAATGAGAGCCTGTCTCAAAAATCCAAAACATTTCTAAAGATGCTAAAAATAGGAACAAAAAGTGTGACTCTGGGGTAAAGCACCCTAATAACAATCCTATCAGTGATGACAAGCACTGTGGGGAGTGTGTGGTATACACCACTGCACCATCTGTATGGCCCTAAAATATAAATGCAGTCCCCTCTATCAGAAATAAAGATGGTCAAGCACTCGGAAGGTAGAGGCAGACGGATCTCTGTGAGCCTGAGGCCAGCCTGGCCTTTATTGTGAAATTCTATCTCCAAAATCTCAAAAAAAAAAAAAAAAAAAACACTAAAATAAACAAATATCGCCAGACAGAGACAGATACACACACACACACACACACACACACACACACACACACACACACACACACGCGCGCGCGCGCGCGCACGCGCGTAATCTCCACGCTACTTGAGTTCCAACCCAGACTGGGCAACATGAGGCCCATCTTAAACAAACAGGCACAAAATGCTATTAGTTTGAATTAGGAACCTATCCCTGGCTTTAGTATTGAAGGCCTGATCCAGATGATAAGGACTAGAAGGCGATGGAATCTTTAGGTGGGGCTTATAAGAGTCAGGTGGCCTGAGGAGTGTGCTCTTGAAAGGACACCAGGACTCTCCTCCCCACCAACCTGCCTACTTCCTAGTCCTCATGAGCTGACTAGGCCCTCCTAGCATGTACTGCCATGATCCACTGTGCAGCCTCAGGCCCAAGACAATAGACTGAGAGCTCTAAAACCAGGAGCCAAATTAAGTTATCTTAGGTATTTTGCTACAGTGATAGAAAGCTAATGGACACTATGACAGTTTAATTGCATCAATATTCCCATCTCCATATCCTATGGGCTCAGCCTGTACCTGCTGTCCAGCTTCAAAACCATCAGATTTTGGGTCAGAAATGAGCTGGTATCAGTTTTGTGATCTTCAAGTCATCTAAACATATCAGCCTCGGATCCACACCCCACCCACTTTCTCTTGTGAAGTATGGGCCATTCCACACTGCCCTACTGAGTACTTACTGCTTTTCCAGATCTAAAACCATTCTGTCAATTTCCTCTGAGGAAGGCACATGTGTCCCATGGAGAAGACTGTTGGATGTCGGGAAAAAATCTTCTCCACTGAGAAGACAGCAAAAAGATTTTCAGTCAGACATGAATGCTCTAGTCTCCAATTCATGTATGTATGTATGTATGTGTGTGTGATGAGAGACGATTTACACAGCAAAGGTAAAGGAAAAAAAGAAAATTCAGGCTCAGAACAGATGAGCCAGGCTGGGTGAACATGCCTATAAAGCCAGCCCGGCTCATACCATAACAGCTTCGTTCTTCAGATGCATAAACATTGCCCAGTAGAAAGGACTTGTCAAAGGCCATAAAAAGCTTGGAGCAGAATGTCTAAGGTTTCTCTGTATCAGAACAAGAGCCTGGCTGGGCACAGCAGCACACACCTTTAATCCCAGTGCCTGGGAAGCCAAGACAGGCAGATCTCTGAGTTCCAGGTCAGCCAGGGCTACACAGGAAAAACCTGGCCTCCAAAACAAATAACAATAAACCAGGAGTCTACCCCACCTTCCACAGCCATGCCTACTCATGCAACCTCTCTGCTTTCATACCGCAGCTGTCAGCAGTGTGAATGAAGACCACTGAGCCCCTTAAGTCCAAATATCTACCATCTGGTCCTTCATTTTATAGGACCCAAGCACGCAGCTCCTACAAAAGCACCTTGCTCGGATGACCTGGTGTTAGCCACCTGAAAGTCTCCAAGGAAAATCAGGGCTTAACTACTTCGTGATGAAGAGAACAGCAATTAGTGTTATCAAAACAGAGACTATCAAAAGACAGCCACTAATAGTCCACAAGTCACCATTAAACTGAGTTTGGTCAAGCAAGTTGGTGAACACCTGTAATCCCAGCACTCAAGGAGACTGAGGCAGGAGGATGCTGTGAGTTCAAGGACAACCCAAGCCACACAGTAGAAATGCCTCAGGTAAGTAAACAACTAGTTTAACTAGTTTGTATTTACACGTGTCTGTAACAATCTACTTGTACCCATCTTCCCAGCAGAGCTTTGCATTCTACCCAAGGACTTACTGCTTTTCTCTCTGTCGTTCATAGCTTTCCATGTCAGGTTTGATCTGCTTGGTCAGCCGGTGATACTGGCGTAATTGGGCAGCAGCATAATCTTAAACAAAATGAGAACCAGAGGTAATCTATATTACTTATTAGAGAAAACTCTAAATTATTATTGTCCTACATGCAGAGGATACTAACCTAAGCACAGCCTGTATCCTGAACAGGCTAATAGGAAAACTGACTAATTCAAATCTGTCAGGGGTGGTAACACCCTCCTGTAAACTCACCACTCAGGAGGTTGAGGCAAGAGGATCCTGAGTTTGAAGACTGCCTAGGCTACACAGTGAGACTAAATAACAAAATGGCAACAAAAAAGGCTAAGGACCAAAGCAGCCAGCAGAATGACAGGCAGCCCTGGGTTCTACCTTGACACAGCTACATTCTCCCTGGCCTCCTAGAATATTCCATGAATGAAGTTCAAGTGCATGTGCTCTCAATAAAGCAGAAGCCTTGGTCCAATAGTTCCATTCAGTAAAGCAGAGGTCAGCACAGGTCAGCTGTACCTGAAAACCCCAAGTCAGGGTTCTTCCTCTTCTTCCTCCTCTCCCATCTCTCAGCATCTTCTGCACTGATCTCCAGCAGCTTCACTTTCTCGTAGTCTTCCCCTCTTGCTGCACACTCCTGAAAACACAGGCAGCATTGAGCCCAGGCTAACCTCAAATTCAAAGCAACCCTCCTGCCTCAGCTTCCCAAGTGCTAGAACTATAGAAATGACCCATCATTTCCAGCTACTTGACCTATTTTAAATGAAGAAAAGATGTAATAAAAGTATCAAGAAACAGCCGTCATGACTGTCCAGTGGGTAAAGGTGTTTGCTGCCAATCATGACCACCTGAATTCTACATCAGGCTCACACAATGGAAGAAAAGAACTGGCTCCTAGAATTTGTCCTCTTGTGCCCACACACATACAAATAAACATGTAAGAAAATTAAAATCAACAGCAACAGAACAGAGCAGGGGTCATATCTGATTTAAATGTTTTGCAGAATTCCTAATTCATTCAAGTAACCATTAGTATAGTTCTTGTCCTACAGACAAGAAAAGTAAGGTTCAATCAGGCAGTTGTGGCACAGCCTTAATTCCAAAACTCAAGAAACAGAGGGAGGCAGATCTCCGTAAGTTTCAGGACAGCCAGGGCTACAAAGAAAAACTGTCTTGAAAAACCAAAGGGGAGGGGGTGGGAGAGAAAGGAAAACAGAAGAAATAAGGTTCCCTGAGGTAAATGACTTGCCCACCTACTCAGCTACCATCATCTCCTGTCTCAATGGAAGAGAGCAACCAGGGTTTTCTAACCTTTTTCTTTTCTTCCTCCTGCAGCTCCCACTCCAAACGTGCTTTCTTGGCTTCCCAGTTTGCAGGCAACTTAAGTCTTTTGTCTTCTTCCACAACTTCCTGGTGATTTAACTTACGAGCTTCATTCTAAAACCGTAAGAGACAAAAAGGCAGTCAGAAAAACAGGAGAGGGGCCCAAATAGACCCACCCTGCCTTCCTTGCAGTGACTAAGTGACCCCACTTAATGCTACAAGGAATAAAAACCACTCATAAAGGTACACCACTGAATGAGACCTCAGGGCTGCCAAGCTTTGCTGCTCCAGAGCCCCAGGGGCTACTGTCAGCCTTGCCTATTCCGCTGGGTGGTTCCTTTATTATTACATAAAGGTTGGCAAAGTGCCCTCACTGAACCATACCATAGTACAGTGGCAACCAAAGGCATTATACTTTAAAGCTTTTTAAAGAATTTATTGTGTTTGTATGTGGATACACACATGCCATGTGGTTTTTGTGGAGATCAGAGGTTAACTCCCAGCATTACTTCTTTTTCCCACCATGTGAAGTGTGCTGGTTCATTTGTTTCTTTTCTTTTGTTTTGTTTTATATTCTTGCAGGCTCAAGAACCATTTAAAAAAACAAAACAAACAAAAAGTTCTTCTGAGCCAGTAAGTTGGCTCAGTGGGTGAGTGATTGCCACAAAGCCAGATGACTTCAACACTTGGAACCACATGAGAGGAGAGAACTGACTCAGTCCTGTGGTCCTCTCATCAACATGCACTTCAGGTACACAAATAACAAATGTAAAAGGACTTGTCCTTATTTCTGTGCCTGTGTGTGTGCACACATGTCTCGATCATTGTGGAGGTCAGACGGTTATCTCCTTCCACTTTTACCTGAATTCCAGGGATCAAACTCAGTTTGGTGGCCAAACTTGTACAACAAGGGTCTCTAACTGAGTAATCTCACCAATCTAAGGACAATTTTATTAAAGTTCAAGAGAAAAAAACAAGTCAAGCAAGCTGTAAATTTTAGCAGGTGCCAGAGAAGGGAGATGATAAGAGAACGATTTTGCCAGGTCTTTTGAATTACATTCCAAAAAAGCAAACAAGTTAGCAAAAGCAGTCAGGTGGGAAGAAACCACATGGGGCAGTGAGGAGGGACTGTCTTCAGAGAAAGAATAATGTCCAGAGTGTCTGGAGAGCCATGCTTAGGATGTGGGTGGGTCTCCAAACAAGCAATGGAAAATAAGTTAGACTTTTTGGTTTTGGTTTGGTTTTTTCCACACAAGGTTTCTCTGTGCAGCCCTGGCTGTCCTAAAACTTGATCTGTAGACCAGGTTGGCCTCGACCTACTGAGACCCGTCTGCTTCTGTTTCCCGATTCTATGATTAAAGGGATGGATGCACTACCATCAGCCAGCAAGTTATACTTTTTTGAGTTTTAACTTGGGAAAAAGGGCAAGTGTGTGCTAGTTGTTTTTAAGGTGCGGAAACTTTTTTGTTTATGCTTTGTTTCGAGACAGGGTGTCTCTGGGTGTCCTGGCTGTCCTGGAACTTGCTCTGTAGACCAGACTGACCTCGAACGCACAGAGATCTGCCTGCTGGGATTAAAGGCGTGTGCCACCACCGCCAGGGTAAGGAGAGGAAACTCTTACTAAGAAGTGTATTCCTATTTCTAGCTAAATATTTCCCTACATAAAAATGAATAATTTGGAGGCCAGCCAGGTCTACAAGAGCTAGTCCCAGGACAGCCTCCCAAAGCCACAGAGAAACCCTGTCTCGAAAAACTTAAAAAAAAAAAAAAGTAATTTGTTAGAAACATGGAGCAGGGGAACTGTTAGCAACAGAACTAGCCTATCCCAGATAAACTAAGTCATGTGGGTGGGATCTGGGAGGAAGGCGCAGGTGAGGCTTTCGAAGCGATGTCACCGTGAGTCCAGACCCACCACCTGAGACCTTCCAGTCCCGGAGCGCCCCGCCCTGCAGCCTGGCGAGCTGCTGCGCCTTCCTCCAGCCCCGCGCCCGGCCTGGCTCACGTCCCCGCCACTCACCCGCTTCAGGTGCAGCTCGCGGAACTTGCGCAGTCTCTGCTCGCGCTTCTGCGCCGCCAGCTCCTCGGCCGCCGAAGGCCGGTCTTCCGAGGCATCCGCGGGCACCTGCGATCACAACCAGCCTCAGGTTCGGCGTCCCCGACGGCCACGTCCCCGGCCGACACCCCCGTAGCCTCGCCTCGTGTCCCGCCCCGGCGTCACCCCGATAAAACCCTGCGCGAGGCCGGTGATACTCACCTCAACTTCGGTCGCAGCCGCCATTACAGCCTTCCCTGTACTTCCGGCAACAACACCGAGTACTTCCGTCGGCTTCTAGCCCGAGGCTGCAAGCCCCACCCCTTCCTATGGCAGCAGATTCTTCTGGTCTGTCCCGCCCCTTTCGTGCGCAGGCGCAGATTGCGCAAGCAATGTCCCGGATGAACAAGGCGGAGAGGCAAGGGTGGGGAAAAGCTCTGGGCGTCTCCTAGAATGGAATGCCCGGTAGGAGCCTGGTTGGGAATCGCTTATCCTGGGTGTTACCTCCTCTGAAGCACCCTACCTCACATAGGCCTTGAGCAGTTGGTATGAGGTCGCGTCCATTGAGCAGATACTTTTCTGATGTTACTGACTGCTGGAGAACAGGGCCAACTCAATATTGTTCACTCATCCCAGTACCACAGTTAACTACCAAAGTTACTAAGACAAAGCAGGAATACAACAGAGACAAACGAAACATGTTCCTTTCTCCAAGAAAGGGTTTCTTTGTGTTCCTTTGTAGACCAGCCTGGTCTTGAACCCACAGAGATGCGCCTGCCTCTGCCTCCCAAGTGCTGGGATTAAGTTATTGCCCAAGTGTAAAGGCTTGAGTACAAATAGCTGTGGTGGCACACTCCTGGCATCCCAGCAGGTGGAAACACGAGGGTGTCTACCAAGTATGAGGCTTGCTTGAGCTACAGTGACTTAACCAGTGCTACAAGGCATGTCCGTTTATTTTTAGCAAACAAAAAGAGGATATCTAAATTAAAAGATTAAGCAGTGATAGGAAAAAAAATGGAAATTTAGGGCAAATGTCTTTTAAGTCCCCTCCCCTGTATGGAGAATCTTCTCAAGCTTAATAAAGTTATTTGCTCTTCAAAAAAAAAAAGCAAAAAACAAAACCCCACAAGAATTTTTTAAAATGCAAGGTGGGCATGGTGGCACACACCTTTAATCCTGTGAGTTATAGCAGTCTGATCTACTGAATTTTAAGACTCAGACTGTCTCAAAAATAAAAGTAGCCTGGCATTTGGGAGGCAGGGGCTGGCAGATCTCCATGAGTTTGAAGCCTGCCTGACTTACAGTGAGACCCTGTTTAAAAACAAAAAAATATCCGGGCATTGGTGGCACATACCTTTAGCCCCAGCACTCGGGAGGCAGAAGCAGGCAGATCTCTTGAGTTTGAGACCAGCCTGGTCTACAAGAGCTAGTTCCAGGACAGCCTCCAAAACCAGAGAAACCCGGTCTCAGAAAAACAAAACAAACAAAAAACAAAGTAAAATAAAACAAAAAGGAAATTAAAAATTAAAACAAATTTAAATCTAAACAATAAGGTTCTCTGGTTGGGAAACCGATCACAAAAACCTCTTGTGAAGGGATGAGTGTTTCTAAATGGTGGTGGTGGTGGGAGGTAGTGGTGCATGCCTTTAATCTCAGCACTCAGGAGGCAGAGGCCAGCCTGATCTACAAAGTAACATCCAGGCCAGGCTCCAAAGCTACAGAGAACCCCTATCTTTTACTTATTTTTGGTTTTTAGAGACAGGGTTTCTCTGTATTGCTTTGGAGCCTGTCCCAGACCTAGCTCAGTAGAGCAGGCTGGCCTCAAAACTCAGATTCACCTGCCTCTGCCTCCCCAGTGCTGGAAAAGGTGTGCCACTAAGGTCTGGTTGAGATTTTCATCTTTTAAGGAAGTATGAGGGACTGGAGGTGCAGTCTGTTACCCCAGCACTCAGGTGGTAACAGGCAGGACCAGAAATTCAAGGTCAGCAGGATGTGACAGCATAGGTCCCAGCAAAGGCAGAATATGAGTTCAAGGTCAGCATGGTGTACCCAGTGGGTTCTGGGAGAGGACTACATTTGAGACCCTGCCTCAAAAACCACAATACAGACATACAGGAAGGAAACTGATTCAGTAATGAGTGGTGCAAACTAAACATGAAAGAACTGTCAAAAGGCAAATTCAGTACACACTAGAGGAACTGTAGAATTACAACTATAGAAAGAGACATCTCTTCTATGTTGATGAGAAGGTAGTCACAGGGTTGGAGATGACTCAGTGGCTGAGAGCTGCTCTTCTAAGAGGACCCTGGTTCCTAGCACCCACATTGCCAATTACCTTGAACTCCAATTGTAGGAGATACAAAGCTATTAGCAGTTATACCCTTTATGCAGACAGACACACATTCCATTCCCAGCACTGAGTGGCACAGGCCCATCCCTAATTCTAGTTCTAGGGACTCCCAACACCCACATCTGACTTCTGTGGGCACCAGGCATTCAGGTGGAGCAGATAGGTGTACATACAGATAAAACATCCATCCATATAATTACAGTAATGTCCTTATTTAGAAGTGCATTATCCTCCCAATAACATACCATTTGATGTTTTGTGGAAATTTTTTGTGCTGCTTGAGATTAAACCGGTGATACTGCTGTGAAGGGTTTGGAATTTTTATTTTCCTGACAGCAGGGCCTTCTCTGTGTATAACTGGCTGTCCATGCTGGCCTCAATCTAAGAGATCCATCCACCTGTCTCTGCCTCCAGAGTGTTGGGATTAAAGGCAGCACCACCACCTAGCTTGCTATTTTTTTTTTGTTTGTTTGTTTGTTTGTTTGTTGTTTTTTGAGACAGGGTTTTTCTGTAGCTTTGGATCCTGTCCTGGAACTAGCTCATGTAGACCAGGTTGATCTGGAAATCAAGAGATCTGCCTAACTCTGCAATTAAAGGCCTGTGCTACCACCACCTGGTTTGTTTTTAGTGGAGTCTCACTGCCCTGAAGCTTGTTTTGTAAGTCCAGGCTGGCCCTGAACTCAAACCAGATCTACTTGTACATATCTCTGCTGAGTGCTAAGAATTTCCAGCTAAAACAGTTCATTTTAAAGACCATTATCTTTTTTTAAGCTATGTGTATGAGCAGTTTGTCTGCATGTATGTCAGTGCCCCACAAACAACAAGAGGATGTTAGATCTCCAGGAATTGGAGCTACAGATGGTTGTGAGACACCTTATGGGTGTTCAGAATCAAACCTGGGTCCACTGGAAGAACAGCCAGTGCATAAATCCCTGAGCCATCTCTCCAGCCACAGGAAGGAAATCTTGGCATTCAACCCTCACACTTAGTATTCCTATTATTGCCCTCAGGCTACACACCTAAGAGCACTCAAGAGGCAGAGACAAGATTTTAAGTTTGATTCAGGACAGCTGTCAAGGATACAAATTTAAACTAAATAAAAGACCAGCTTCCCCACACCCCAATTCTTATGAATTAATCATCTTGTACGTTCAGACTCAGTTTTGGAATTAGGAAGGTTTTTCATCCTAAGTAGATCCATTCAATACCCATGAAATCAAGACAAATAATAAAAAGTTTATTAACAAATATACAAAATACACAGTATTCACCTGTGTCTTACAAAGTTCACCCATGTACATATGCAGTACTATACAATACTTACAAGTATATATAAGACTCCCACTTGTATGCAAATTTCTGGTCCATCTGTGTTCCTACAATTTCAAGAGAAACCTCAACTGTGAACATGTCACCATTAAGCATCTTTCTGTAATGAAGTTTAACAACATTTACTGCTGTTATACTCAAGCAGGCAGGCTAATGCTGGAGGACAGCAATTCTTAGTAAAGTGCAGTTTTAGGGAACCCAGCCCTTAGTTTTCATTTACACAGGTATCCACAGTCCGTAAGGACTTTTTTTCTTATCTATTTTTGGTGATCCTGATGATGTCTCTTCAGCAGCAGCTTTGGCTGTTTTCTGTAGCGGCTTTGCTATGGAATTCTGTAAGACAATAAACTAAAGTCAACTTCCCAGAGATTGTCAACACAAAAAAAAAAAAATTTCTTTAAAACTTACATAGATACACGCCAGACCGCCTGAAACAAGCTGATCCTACATTCAAAACAGCTGGACAAAACAGCCCTACAGACTACAGCCAGGATATCTGAATCTTCTTCGAATCCCCCATGACAGCGCCCCTTACCAGCAGAAGTAGTTTGGAAAGAACAACGCCCAAATTCCCAAATATTGTGTATAAATGTTTGTTTTCATTTAATTGGACTTTGTTATATAAAAATAAAAAATAAAGGTAAGAAAAAAAACTTACATAGATAATGTTCAGGTATACTTACATTAGAGCTGAAGGCTATGTTTCTTTGTGCAGCAGATTTCTCACTGGGATTCTGAGTTTCCTCTTCAGCTTGCTTTTCTGAGTGCTAGAAGGGCAGAGAATTTTTAAACATAGCCTCAGATTTTGAATACTGTATAAAAAGCAGCCCAATTGTACACTAATGTAGATGAAGACACACAAACCAAATTCCATCTATTGTCAGTTAACAAGCAAGACCAAAAAAAAAAAAAAACTGCTGTTTCCACTTAACATTGACTTAGAAAGAAGTAGACACAATTCCCCAGGAATAACTGATTCTTGTGAGTGAATACAACTCATTTTTGAGTAAATGCAACAGAAAATTCTTTTGTCAAAAGAATGGAGGCATTTGCAGAGGGTGCCTAAATCATCTCAAGGAATACCGCTTACTTGCCTAAGCAAACAGTAGGTAGAACACAAGGTACGGCAATACAGACAAGCCATCTTCATTGTACAATTAAGTTTTACCTTAAATTTCTATAAAGCAATTTTTTGAGACCAAGTCTCTTATCTATCCTTGACTGGCCTAATTCATTATGCAGTCAAGGCTGATGACTTTGAATAATCTTATCTCCCAAGTGCTGGGATCACAGGTGTGGGGTACCACACCCAGTTTACACTGCTAGAAACTAACCCCTGGTGTTATGCACCCTAGGCCAACTGAGCTACATTCCCAGACCAAATTATCAACTTTAATAAGATTCAGGTTTCACACCAATTAACTTGTAAGTACAGTGCAATGTGCCAATGCACATCCTTTGTAATTCTGGAGAATTATAATAAACTTATCTGCAAGTGAAGCAGGCCTCTTCTTCTGTAATCTCTCAAAACATCTGGAATATATTGCATATATTATGAACGGGACATCTAGAGCACAGATGCCCCAACATTACACAGTGCATCCAGGCTGAATTGTCAAACTGCCTTACACAAATAGCTCTAGCCCAAAACGCTTACATGCACATGGACTACCTTCAATCAAAGCTAAGTTTTCATTCTGAACATCAACTCTGGCATTTTTAACCCATAATCAATTACCCACAGATTTTCTTCATCATTGTCTGGAGACCACATTCATGATTTCTATAAGACAGAAATAAAGCAGATAAACTATACTGTATACTGAGCACAGACTTTTGGGAACATAATGCTGTAAATGAAAGCTACTAATGGAACACTCCAGTCTCTAAAGACTAGATAGAGTAAGAAAAAGACAAAGTACTACCAATAATATAGTCAGTGGATTTACTGTTAACAAGAAAAACAGACCAACAGTCAGAATGAAAGCAAGTTCATTATCTCCCAGTTTCCTGTGAAATGGTCTAGTACTTTTCAGATTAAGGTTAGTTTTGTTCTGAGCAAATGATTTAAGACATCCCTGGAGGGCTGTCTACAGTAAACTGACAGGGTAAGGAGATTTGCTGGCAGTAGCCTTATCAATATACTTACCTCCATCTTTGCACCACTGCTCGAAACAGCTGCTCTCTGGCTTGTTTCCTTAGCTGCAGTTCGCAGACTGGCAGGCAGGTCAAAGCTGGCTGTCCCTAGAGCTTTTGCTGCATTGGCTTTTGCTATTTCCAGCAGCTCCATTCGATCTAAGGACATTGAGACATTCATTATCACCTAAGGTTCCTTAAAGGCCAAAATTACAAGCTTATGTTTTCTAAAACAGTAATGTTTTCCTTTTAATAAGTAAAGCATTTTTGGGAAACAAAAACCAATTTTATGCTGAGGGGAAAAAAATAGCTTCCCAAAATTAGCTCAAACTAGGTTTGTTTTTTTTTTGTTTTGTTTTGTTTTTTAATTCTCCTGGTTTTGAGATAGGGTCTCTCTAACAATCCTGGTTGTCCTGCAACTCTGTAGACCAGGCTGGCCTTGAACATTAAGAGATCCACCTGCCTCTGCCTCCTGACTGGCTACAGTTTGCTATCCTGACAAACAGCACAAACAGCACTGTTTTGTCTTTTCTTCATGCATTTCTGTAAACTAGGGAGTCTGGTAAGTTTATATAGCCCAATTATCTTTACTACTAATCTTGACAGTGTCAATATTCATGTTCAAATTTACTATTTATTTTGTAATATTACCAAGTCACCTGACAGAAAGCAAAATCCAACCTTTTTTTTTTTTTCTCGGTAAATCACTTTAAACTAAATCACTAACATATTTTAAAGGTCGTACTAAAAACAGCCAACTAGTAGGAGAGAAAAACTCCTCTTTGGGTCAGCGAAACCATAAGTGGACTTGGACTCTTTAGGTGAAAAGTGAGAAATTACGGTCTACTTAATTCACCAGCTAAAAATCCTATTTCCCTCCAAGAAATCTGAAGCTTTCTAGCACCGAAGTACACACGCTGGAAGAACGCCCAGGACAGGGGTAATCTGCCTAGCATAGCATATTAACAGGCTTAACCAATCCAACTTAACTGCTCAATCCGCCCCCCCCCCATTCCCTGCGCTGACTCACACCTACTGTGGGAAATAAAGGGAGGACTGGTGCAGATGGCTGGGTGACAGCGTCCTCAATTCAATTCCCAGAATCCCACAAAAGTCAAAGTGACACCAAGACCCACCTTTCTCACTTAAGCGAAAGGGAGTTCTGCTCCTGCTGCGCGACCTGGTTCTGGATCTTTCCCTCCACCTGGGGCGATCCTCGGGATACACCGTGCGGCCGAAACCGTAGTAGCGCCGCCCGCGAGTGATCGCGTAGTACGCCCTCCTGTGATGCGACCTCCCGCGGGAGCGCGACCTGCTCCGGGACCGGTAGGGAGAAGGCGACTGGTAGTACCTCCGCGGCGGCCCGTAAAAGCTGTCCCGGTAGTAGCGGCGGCCTCGGGACCGGGACCGGCTGCGTGAGTACGACCGCGAATAGCGCCTGTACTTGCGCTGGTGGCGCCTGCGGGACCGGGATCGGGACCGCCTGCTCCGCCGCGGCCTGCTATGGCTGCGCGACGACGAGCGGCTGGCGCTGCGGGAGTCGGGGCCGGAGCTGCGGGACGAAGAGCGGCTGCGGGAGCGCGACGACAGGCGGCTGGAGCGGCCCGAGCCCGACGTAGATGGCGATGCTTTTTCCTGCGGAGATCCGGGCCACATATCGTTCACGTACTTGGACATGGCGGCCGAGGACATGACTTCCTTCTTGGAATCCGGCTCCTTCCGCAAACGCAAGGGCGTCTAGGAACGACGGCAAAGGGCGAGGGTCAATCCGGAGGCGGGAGCGTGCAACGCGCATGCGCGAAGAAACAAGCTCGCGCCCCTCCCTCGACCACCCGGGACCGCGCCACCCGACCCACCTTATGCCGATGACGTGCTCGCAAAGGCGAGAGAAAAGCCTAGCGGACACCTTCCTCTCAGACCAGGGTCCGAAGGCGACCGGGTTACCGTCTGGGACGTGGAAGCACAGCCACCTCAACCTCCGAAGTCCGGGCGCGAACTGAACCCAGTGGCAACGTCAGCGCCGAAAATACTAGAAGTTAGCGCGGAGCATGCGTACAAACATCAGCGCGATGGGGCGGACTCTCTTCTCCTCCAATCGCCACTAGCCATTCGCTCTCAGCGGGTTGCTTCGGGCTGCGCCTTCCAGACACGCATGCGCGTGGAGGCCGTCACCCCCACCCCGCACACCACTCCATCCCGGCCTTCTACATCCGGGTATTTTGAGGATTTATTGTTTTCAGGGATTTTTGTTTGTGGGCTGGATAATTGGTTTCGGGATTTGGCTTTTTGACACAGAAGTTAGCTACGTAGCTCAGTCAGGCCCCAAATTCGCTGCCACCCTCCTGTCACTGCCTCTCCGTGCTGGCGTTACCGACCTGGGCTACCACGCCCAACTTTTGTTTTCCTTTTTTTTTTTTTTTTGTTTTTGTTTTTTGTTGTTGTTGTTGTTGCTCCACCCTCGCGATGTTGAGTTTGAGATTTGAGATTCGGGGAGAGGTGTGGTCGCACACCTTTAAGCCTGTTCAACTGCTCGGTGACCCGCCCAAATCCCCCCTCCCCCCCCCCCCCCAGCTGCGGCCTGGCCCTGCTGCCTGTCCTTCCTGACCTTCTGCAGGGCAGCCTGGGAGGGAACATCACAGGCCCAGAAATGCAGTTGTTATATAGAAGGGGTGCTTTAACTTTCTTATTTGAGCTAGTAAATGTAATTGAAGTAGAGACAGAAATTCCAAGACAACCACAGTTGACCTTTGAGAAGTAAGAATGGTTGATAACCTGGTGGTGATGGTACACACCTTTAATCCCAGCACTTGGGAGGCAGAGGCAAGTGAATTCCCGTAAGATGCAAGACAGCCAAAGCTACAAAGAGAAAAACCAAGAAAAAAAAAAAAACTTGATAGTGAAAGACACCCACTATGCTTATTACCTGTTTAAATTGCTCTTGCTAATTTGACAAGGTCAAGTTATGAGAAAAGTACAGGAGGGAACCAGGTGCTGCTCTCATCCAACGCCAACCAGATATCTGTGGTCTGCAGCTTGGACCAAAGCAAGGTCAGCAGTATCCAGGATACTGAGAGAGTCATAACTGAATTCTTTGTATTCTTTGTGCCCAACCCGAATAACCAACTGTCCTTGGTTAACTACAACTGCTACATTTAGATGAAACAATGAAATCCCTGTAACCATGCTTCTGCTTCTGTAAGCCTGCTTCTTGCCACTCCAACCCTATATAAACTGCCTGAGTTTTAACCTGGGCACGCTCAGTCCCCCGAAAGACTGAAGCGTCCACAGGTACCAAACTCTTGGGGTCTCTTGGGGGGGGTCTTTCGGTCTGTTTTATATATATGCGTGTGTGTGCAACATTATTGTGTGTAAAAGCCCAAGAGGAGTCAAGAGTTCTTGTAACCGGACTGGGGGTTGAGGGCCAACAAGCATGCTGCGGCAGGTGCTGGAAATCTAGCCCGTGGGCTCAAACACAGCAAAAGCACTCCTAATAAAGAGTTCGCCAGGCTTTAGCAGAGCACACCTTTAATCCCACCACTCGGAAGGCAGAGGCAGGTGAATTTCTGTGAGTTCGGTCCAGTCCGGTCTATAGAGCTAGTTCCAGGACAGGCTCCAAAGCAATACAGACAAACCCTGTCTCAAAAAAACTACTCGAAAAAAATAATGATAATAATGAAAATAATAATAATGAGCCGTTTCTGCAGCTAATAGGTCTGTCCTAAGATTTAAGTGTGATTAGTGCAGGATGTTTAAACTTATTTCCAGGACAGATTCCAAACATTGTCATAAAGCATAACAGTGACCTTGAAAATTGTGAGTAAAGGTGTTGTAATGTAAGAAAAGTGGTGTGTGAAAGAAAGACACCATGTGACAGGTTCAAGCAGAGAGTTTTTGTTTTTTCAATTAGGGAAAGATATAAAAAGGGGAAAGAAACAGCAGGCGAGAGGAAGGGAAGGAGGGACAAGGAGGGAGAGGAGAGAGATAGGCAGAGGGAGAAAGAGAGGAGGATGGGAGGTGGGCAGGGCCCTTTAAAAAGGGAACATAGTGAATGTGCACAGGTGGTGCTCTTAGTGGCTACAGCTGAGGGCGTATCCTGCCAAAACCCCACAGATGAGCCAGTACAGACACCTGAACACTAACATTCCCCCCTTTTTATTTATTATAAAAAGGTGAGGAGTTAGAGAGAGGGAGCTGGTGAGGCTGGTATGAGGATGCCATGTTCTTAAGACTACTTCCTGCTTACCTAAGGGGTGTCATTCATCTTTGGGGGACCTGGGAAAGGTGGGGTGCTAGCCATGTCTGGAGTAGCTGGCTGTTTCATTTCACTGTCCAGGCTCTGTGGAACAGTCAGGTGCCTCCCAGACCTGGCAAAATGCCCGTTTGTTTGTTTGTTAGTTTTTCAAGATAGGGCATCTCTATATTGTTTTTGGAACCTGTCCTGGAACTCTCTTTGTAGACCAGGCTGGCCTCGAACTCACAGAGATCTGCCTGCCTCTGTCTCCTGAGTACTGGGATCAAAGGTGTACATCACCAATGCCCAGCTCAAAATGCCATTCTTGGTGAATCCAAATCCACTCTCTAGGGCTTAAAGCGCCTGATCCTTTCCTATCACCACAGCTTCACCCAGACATGTTTAGTAGTCTTGCACCTCCAGCTCTATGGCCAACAGGCAGTAGTCTTGCAACAAGAGCTGATTAGGAATGGTCAGTGGGTCTCTAAAAATCATCCCAATGGGAGCAAGGAGGTATAGACAATGGTACAGCTCCCATGAGTAAGCCAGAGAAGACCTAAGGGTCTGCAATTTGTAGTGTTCCAGCAATTCAGAGAGGGCCAGTTTCAAGACAGGCATAGACCACCCCCAGTGAGTCATCACGAAAAGCGTGGAGGCCAAAGGCTCTGAACTGAGAGAGCTGCCTGGTACCAGGACTTCAAGAAAAGCCAGACATAGAGGAAAGGGCTGTGCTGGAGAAAGGAACCCTCACATCCAGGGGGATGGTCACAAGTGGATAACCCCACCAGACACCTTATTGTTGGTACTGAGTGGAAGGCAAAGCCATCATCAGATTTGTTGCAGGTGGAAGAGAGCAGATCTATTGAGAGTGAAGCAGCGGGGCAGGGGCCCAGCAGGAAGTGATTGCAAAGTGCTGGGAAGTGGAGTTTTGGTAGGCTTATTCCACATGAGTGAGGGAGAGCAAGATCCAATGGCTTTTACCAGTGGAGGATAGAGCAAGAAAGGCACAGGCTGCCAAGGTGAATCGTCAGTCAGGGGCCGGGGCCAAAAGACCTAAGGGTCCAAGAATCAAGACTGGCACAGGCCACCCAGTGGGTCGTCACACAAAGGGTGGGAACCAAGGTCTCAGAGCCTGAGAGAGCTGTGGCTGCCTGATACCAGGACTTAATGAAACCAAAAGGCAAGAAATCATTATGGAGAGAGATGAGTCCTCACTAGTGAGAATAGCCTAAGGTGGGGAAGGTGGAGGGACTCACCAATCATGCTGGTTTTGGATGGAAGGACCCAGTGATCTGGAGAAGTAAGGCTGTCATGTGAACCTGGTGTGTTCTGCAGGACAGAAGGAAATGTCAAGAGAGCCTTCCTGGTCAGGGAACCAGTGTTGCAATTTTAAAAATGATGCCATGCTACAGAGTTCAAGCAGAGGAGTTTTTTTTACTAGGGAAAGGGATCATAAAAAGTGGAGTAGAGAAACTGATCTGAGGGACAAGAGCATCAGGAGAGAAGAAAGGGGGAGGGAGGGAGAAGAGAGGCACAGAGAGAGAGAATGGGAGGTGGGCAGGGCCCTTTAAAAAGGAACACTAACAAAAGGAACATTATTGGATGAAATTACAACTTCAATATAGAGAGTTAATGCTGTTGGAAATTAAGCAGGGTTTTACAAAAGCTGTGGATTTTGGAGGGAGATGGAAGAAGCAAAGATTTTTGTTCATGTCTCCTTCCCACTTCCCCAATATACAGGGAAACTGAAGAAATAAAAAATTATGGGTCCAGCAAGATAGCTCAGTAGTAAAAGTGTTTGTGGTAAAACACAACTTGAGTTCCATCCCACCTGAGGTGAAAGGAAAGAACTGGCTCCCGAAACTTGTCCTCTGACTTCCAAAACCCTCACACACATACCACACATTAGTGAAAATTCTCAAACTACAGGAACTAGAGAAGTTGTTCAGCAGTAAAGAACATTGATTCCTAATACCAACATGATGGCTCACATCATCTGTAATTCCAGTCCCAGAGATGAACCCTACACTCCCCCCAACACACACACAAACACACATACACTATACAGACATGGATACAGGCAAAATGTAACAGGGCCCAGACCTTATTAGCACAACTGATTCCAGAATGGAAGTACCATTCAGGCTGTAAAACTTAGCACGTAGAAAGCACCTTCTGCCAAAACAAAAAGATCTAATCCATCAAATTTCTGGGAGAGTTTCTAAATGTGCTAACCTTGCTTTTGTAGTTCTGTTTCTGGCTAAGTGTTCTTGTTAACTGAAGTGTGTCTACCCAGGACATGGTTTTTGTGCTTAAAAGCTCACCCTGAGAAGGAAAGGCTCTGGGCTACCCTGGGATCCCAAACATCCAGTGTAGTCTCTGGCCAGGTAATAAAGATTTTCTATTGGCTTAAATCCATATCAAAGTAGTCTTCTCTGGTGAACACCCCACAACACAAAATACCCCAAACCCATAGATTAAAACCCTTACAAAGGCTGTGGAATAGTGATGCATTCCTGTAATCCCAGTACCCAAGTTCTTAAGTTTTTTCTCAGCTTGTGGTGGTGGCTGACATCTGTAAACCCAGCTGGATTCTCTGGATGTTCCTTAGACTCCTGCCCACCAGGGACTTTTGCTGTCTATTCTCAGGAAGCTGTGTGGGCAGATGCAAACTTATTTCACCATTTACAAATGGGGAAGTGTGGCGGGGAAAGGAGTGAAAACTGCTCTGGATGCAGTCTGGGGTTCCTGCTTGTGAGTAGGTAGGAAAGACGCTGTAAGGGACTTGGCAGAGAATTCAGGGTGTCTGTCAAGTGTGTGCCTGTAAACTTGGTTACCAGAACATGGTGGTATACACCTGTAATCCCAGCACTTGGGAGGTGGAGATAGGAAAATCAGGAGTGAACCCAAAGCCAGCCTGGGTATCTTTAGATTGTGTCTCAAATAAAAAAAAAAAATGACTAGAGGAATTCTGGGTGGTAATAGAATCTCTTTGTTTGTTTGTTTGTTTTTCCTTTTTGAGGATTTCTCTTTCCATGTAGCTTTGGAGCTACAGAGCCTGATCGGGAACTTGCTTTATAGATCAAGCTGGCCTCAAACTCTCAGAGATCTGCCTGCCTCTGCCTCCCAAGTGCTGGATTAAAGGCATGCACCACCACCCAGCTCAACAGAATCTTGAAACAGTGGGAAACAAACATGTTCCCCTAATACAGAATGCTGGTGCCTTTGTATTCAGTTAAAGCTGCAGGTGTTACTGTAGTCATCCCCAGGGCATCAAGACCAGAACCAGAGATGAAGCATAGACCTCCACACAGGTAAAGCTGAGTCCTTGACTTTACTGCATGAAAAGAGCTTCATGAGGAGCCAATTTGAAGGGGAGGAAGAGCCTATTAAAGGAATTTTAACAGATTTCAGTGTGAGAGTAGCTAGGTGCTCAGGAAAAGGATAAGATGCACCCAAGAAGAATGGTGCACCCAAGAAGTATAGTGATACTGTCTTTGCCAAGTCCCAATGGGGAAGGCAGGTAATGCTGCAAAGATGGCTCAGCAGTTATGGGCATTTGCTGCTTGTCCCAAGGACCCCAACTCCATTTCCAGCATCCATGTGGTGGCTCAGAACTGTCTGTAACTCCCAGTTATAGGGGGTCTGAGGGCACTTCTGACCTCTGAGGACACTAGACACATATTTTTATTTTTTGTGTTTTTAATTATTTATTTGTATTTTATGTGCATTGGTGGTTTGCCTGCATGTTTATCTGTGTGAGGGTGTCAGATCTCCTGGAACAGGAGTTACAGGCAGTAGGAGCTGCCTTGTAGGTGCTGAGAATTTAACCTGGCTCCTTTGGAAATACAGCCAGTGCTCTGTGATGGGAGATGTCATTCTGTAAATATATTCTGTAAATATGTTTCTCTTATTGGTTAATGAATAAAGCCCTGATGGCCAATAGGAAAGCAAGATAGAGAGGAGTCAAGATGTATGGACTTGAGAGAAGTCCTGACCCTCTCTCTGGTAAGATAAGATCACGTGGAAACACTTAGATGAATAGAATTGGGTTAATATTTAATACAGAGCTAGCTAACAAGAAACACTAGTAACAGGGCAACAGCTTTATATCTAATACAACACCTCTGTGTTATTTGGGGCTGGCACAGCTGTGGAACCAGGCTGGCGGGAAAACTACTCAATACAGCTCTTAACCACTGAGCCATGTCTCCAGCCCCCTAGTTTTTGTTTTTTCAAGACTGTTTTTCTGTGTAGCCTTGGTGTTCTGGAACTCATTTTGTAGACCAGGCTGGCCTCAAACTCATGTAAGTCCAGCTGCCTCTGCCTCCTGAGTGCTAGGACTAAAGCATCACCACCAAGTCCAGTTCAGACACACATTTTTAATTAGGAAAAAAGCAAGAGAGACAGGATCTCATGCTGTGTGAAGTGTGGGCTGCCCTGAAAGGTATCGTGTAGTCCAGGCTGGTCTCAAAGTCACAACACCCTTGGCATTGTGTTAAAGCGCACTATATCAGAAACATAGATGGACACATTATGCCTTTCCAGACTGTCAGAACTTGTTGAATAATAATAAATTCACAAGCTGTATCAGCTTTATTGGCAGCAAGTACCAACTGTATTTGCCAAGTATTTGCCAAGTACCAACTGAGCTATTTCCCTAGCCCTAAACACAGGCTCCTTTATAGCGATCTTCACGACTGTTATTAGCTCTCAGTGACACAGCACATAGTAAATGTTTATCTGTGTATATTTAGGTTACAGGATGTCCCACAGTGGATTAAAGGAGTCACAGCTGAGTCCAAGGCATTAGAGAGACATCACATAAGAGACAAGCAGAAACTGATAGGGAGGCAGAGAACTTCTCTGTGGGAATAAGATAACGAAACCCTCCCTATAGGAGGGCTGCTGGAGCTGTAGGATCCAAGCTGAGCAGAGCCCTGGTTGGAGATCCCCAGTCAAGGTATAGGACTATTGAGACCACCAAGGGTGTGAAGGTGAAGGGCAGAGTTCAGATGAGCAAACAGGCAGATAAATGGATGGCAGGACAACACAGATGGATGATTCTAATAGGCTGCGTCAACAGTGGGGAGGCCAGATGGAGCTGATGCTACAGTTTGTATGCTCTAAAGAGGATTTTATTCTTGTGGTTTTTTTTTTTTTTTAAGACAGGGTTTCTCTGTAGCTTTGGAGCCTGTCCTGGAACTTGCTCTATAGACCAGGCTATACTCAAACTCACAGAGATCCACCTGCCTCTGCCTCGCCAGTGCTGGGATTAAAGGAGTGAGCCACCATTGTCCTTCCAAAGAAAATATTAACTGATAGTCACAAGAATGCTAGTCAAACAGAGATGGCAGTAAGTGGCTATTGAGGAGGCTAAAGGTACCCCAGAACAGTCAGGCAGATCTCTGTGAGGTCAAGGCCAGCCTATCTACAGAGCAAGTTGCAGGATATGCTCCAAAATTACAGAGAAACACTGTCTCTAAAAGAAAAATAAAAAATCAAAACAAGCCCAGAATAATTTGTCCCTGGACCTGTCACATTCCAGCTCTTCAGTCATGGAAGTTCTCATCAGACAGTCAGGCCTGTAGGACGTTTGTCTTTCTGGGCACTATGATCACCATTTCCTTCATACTCTCATGTAACACCATGTACAGGGACTGAAATCTTCATTGGTCTTCATAACAGAATGAGAAATGCCCCCCACAGTCTTGGACATTTGAATAGTTGGTTCCCAATTAGGGGCACTGTTTGGGTAACTTTAGGTGGGGCAGGCCTGCTGGAGGAAGTGTGTAACCAGGGGTGGAGTGTAAGATTACAAAGCCTTGTCCAGTTTCAAGTTCACTAGTTCTGCCTTGAACTTAAGATTGAAGATGTAAGCTCTCAACTTCCTGCTCAAGCCACTTGCTGTCACCCCCGAACCCTCTATGATGAGTTCTTCTCTTTATGAGCAAAAATAACCTTTTTCATCTATAAGTTGCATTGACCATGGTTTTTATCACAGCAACAGCAAAGTAACCGACACAACCAGTAAAGGTAAAAAAGAGTAGAGATGACACAAAGAAAAGGTAGTCCTTAGCATTATAGAAGTTTTAGTGAGAGCTGGTAAAAACAAATGTTATCAATAGACATTTAAAAGACTTCATTAAGATCTGTCTTTGGACAGGTGGTTGTGGTGCATGCCTTTAATCTTAGCACTCGGGAGACAGAGGCAGGTGGAGCTCTGTGAGTTCAAGGACAGCCTGGTCTAAAGAGGGAGTTCTAAGACAGCCAAGGGTACACAGACAAGGTGGAGGTAGGGGGAGCTCTGTCTTTTGGAGCTGGGGATGATGAGGGATGTCCTTTTGTATGCTGTAAATTTGTTTCTCTTATTGGTTGAATAAAGTTGTTTCAGCCAATCGACAGGTAGGATTTATCCAGGTGAGAAATCCAAACAGGGACAAAGAGAGATAGTAGGCAGAGTCAGGGAGACAACATGTAGCTGCCAAGGAAGCAAGAGACCCAGGCATCACTGGTATACCAAGACCACATGGAGACACACAGATTAATAGAAATGGGTTAATAATTAAGAGAGAGCTAGCCATAAAAAGCCTGAGCCATTAGCTAAACCGTTTATAATTAATATAAGCATCTGTGTGCTTATTTGGGACTAAATGGCTGTGGGACTGGGCAGGACAGAAACTTCCATCTACATGGGGATATGACTCACTGGTAGAGTGCCAGTTTAGCATGTGGAGACCCAGCGTAGTGACATCCTCAACAGGGACATATATATATATGAGAAATAGACACACATACATTGCACACACATACACACACACACACACACACACACACACGAACTGCCTGACCTAGATTCCCCTGCCTTGAGACATTAACGAGTAATTACTCAGTCACAATAACCTTTATGTTAAGGGTTAAGAAACATGTTCATTTAAAAAATAGGCCATGGAGGGGCTGGAGAGATGGCTCTACCTGCCATCCACATACACCTGTATTCAGAAGGGGCCAACCCCAGCCTCATTAAAGTCACCACTGGACTGGAAAAATGGCTCGGCAGGTAGAAGCACTTGCTGCAGAGTCGGATAACCTGAGTTTGATTCCTGGGACCCACAGGGTGGATAGAGAGAACCGACTCCCACAGGTTGTCCTGTCTGACCACACAATAATAACAAAAATACGTAAAAGTGTAATAAAAAATTAAAACAAATAGTAAGGGCAGACTGTAGCTTCTCTACTTCGGTCCCAGAAAGAAGGCTTAACTCTAGTATTTCCCACGGTGACCAGAGGGACTAGAAAAGGGAGTCTGGGCCTGCGCAGACTTGTCGGCGCGATGGGCGTGACCCACAGACTCCGCCCTGGGACCTGTCCTCTGCCACGATCCGCATGCGCACTGGCTCGAAGGCGGGGTCTGCACATTGACATCCGGGAGTCTGGTTGCCAGTGGCTGTTTTGTTTTCTTGCAGAGCTGGAGTAAAGTGAGGCCACCGGACGCAGGGCGACTCCCGGCTCCCATTTGGATGTGAGTGCGGACGGGAGGGCGGAGCAGCGAGCCGGGCTGGGCTCGAACTCGCATTGGTGCGGGCCGCGCCCCAGCTCTTGGACGCCGCCACTGCAGTTGAGCTCGAGCGATCTGCGCGGCTGCTTCCTGTCGCCGGCTCTGGCCGCAGAACTGCGGAGCTAGGCATGCAGATCCCACGACAGAGCAGCACTGCCGGCCCACGCGTGGCCGCGCCCTGTTCTTCCAGAGTCTGTAGGGCGGGCCTGCCTTTGAGGTGTCAAGTAATTGTGCAGCGAAAAATGGACTCGGGTGGAGCCGTTGGGGCGAAGGGACAATTACACGTAGTGGGTTGAGTTTCTTTCCAAGTATTAGATAAAAAACGAGTGTATTTTTAGATCCGAACTCATCACAAAGGTATATTAATTTTTATTAGCTTGTTTAGAGGAAGCTAAAACCGAAATCGCACTCTTTAGGGAGTTATGGGGGAATTAGGTTGTTCATTCACTGTGAGCGAGTTGTGTGTAATTGAGGTTTTCCCATTATCCTGTGAAGTAAAGATCACGTGATATTTCTGGGGCCCGGTCTGCACAGTTAGGCTTGAATAAGGTTTTGTTTTGTTTTGTTCTTTCCTTTTTTCTCTCTCTCTTTCCTTTTTAAATTTAAATTTGAAACAAAGTTGTTTTACACGTCGACCCCAGTCCTCTCAGCCTCCCCTATCACCTCCACCAAACCCCAGCCCATCCCCTTTCTGCTCCCCAGGGAGGGTGTTGAAGAAGGTTTTTATGTAACTTGTTAACATCATTTCAGTTCGCTGTGGTAATTTGACAACACATTCTTATTTTCAGTCTTAGGTAACTTCAGGTTTGCACTTTTGTTGGGGATGCTGAAACTTCAATAGAAGCAGAGAGTTAGAGATACTAAGTAAAATGAGTGCCCTTTACATAGAGGAGAAATAATGGGAAAGGAATGAAGCAGCAATAAAACCCGTAGTTCGTATTTTCTTTCTTTTTTCTTTTTCTTTGCTTTCTTCTTTTTTTTCTTTTTTCTTTTTTCCTTCAAGACAGGCTTCTCTGTATTGCTTTGGAGCCTGTCCTGGAACTAGCACTGTAGACCAGGCTAGTCACAAACTCACAGAGATCCTTCTGCCTCTGCCTCTCAAGTGCTGGGACTATGCATGCCCACCACAGCCAGGCAGCGCTCCATTACTTAAAGGACTGCTTAGATTAATTTAACAATGGAATTGGAGTAATAGACTATGACAACTTTGAGAAGCTCAGTACATTTTTGTTAAGGTTTGGGTAATCCCAAATGTAAATATGCTAAAACCTGTTTTGTTTTCTTGGGTTTTGGTTTTGTTAATTGTTTTGTGTTTTTGAGAAAGACTAGCCTGAAACTCATTGACTGGCCTCTGCCTGAGTGCAATCATTTTGCTTCATTTAACCTGCCAAATGCTGGGATTACAGGCAAAGGCCACCACAACACTCCCAGCCGAGAGAACCATGTTTTAAATGAAAAGTATATATGTGCTGAGTGAATCAAAATTTTGTTTTCCAGAGTTAGAATTTGGCAGTTTATCAAAAGTTGCATAAAACCTGGCTTGGTTCTCACATTTATAATCCTAGCATGTGGGAGGTTGAGGCAGGAGGATTACCTGGAATGTGAGAACAGCCTGGGAAAGAGCCTGCATCAAACACTAAAAGCACGTGTACACACACCCAACAAAACAAAACACAAAGTCAAAACCTAGGAGCAGGGACAGGCTGGGAACTTGATTTATTTGTAGAGTGCTTCCCCAACATTTATGAAACTTTAGGTTTAATCCAAAGTACCTCACTCTCCCCAAAAGCTACATCATATTTCTGAAGAAATATGTAGAGCCAGAATAAAAATAGTTTGTAACTTGTATTAGATTACAAATGAGCATTATTTTGCAGGAACCCATCTAGGTTTGAATCTGATAAACAGAAGTACTTTACTTGGCTGTGTTGATCTTGTTTTAGTGACCTGAGAAGATGTCTGGATTTCTAGAAGGCGCAAGATGTTCAGAGTGCATGGACTGGGGAGAGAGGCGGAATACTGTTGCCTCCATCGCTGCTGGCATTCTAGTGAGTGTCCTGGAGGCTTTGGCCTTCTTATATTGATGTGTGCCAGTGTAGACCTTTTGGATTGTGTATGTTGTCTTTCAAGAGTATACTTAGGCTGGGCAGTGGTGGCACACATCTTTAATCCCAGCACTTGGGAGGCAGAGTCAGGTGGATCTCAGTAAGTTTTAGGCCAGCCAGGTCTATAATGCTAGTTCCAGGACAGCCAGTGCTGTTAAACAGAGAAACCCTCTTTCAAACAAACAAAAAAGTATACTTTAAAAGATTGATCACCAGATTTACTTAGTGATGTTTTATTTGTGAGTTTTGTTAGTAGTGTCAGTGTAATTTTGTGAATAGTTGGCAGAATGAAACATACTTTATGCATTTATTTATTGTTATGCTGACTCTCCGTGAGTACAGTAAATTTAAAAAAGAGTTGAAGAGCCGGGCAGTGGTGGCGCACGCTTTTGATTGCATCACTTGGGAGGCAGAGGCAGGTAGATCTCTAAGTTTGAGTCCAGCCTGGTCTCCAGAGCAAGTTCCAGGACAGCCAGAGCAATAGTGAGACCCTTTCTCAAAAAAGGAAAGAAAGAAAAGAAAAAGAAAGGGTTAGAGAAACAATCTGGTCTTCAGCAGTCAAGACAGATAATCCCATTTCTCAGGTTATCCAAAGGTCACATTTCCCTTAATCTCATAGGGGAAAAACAGTAGGGAGCTCAAGAGCTTTTTTTTTTTTTTTTCTTTCTTTCTTTTTTCCCCTTATACAGGGCCTCATGAAGTTCATGTTGGCTTCAAACTTCCTAGTATAGCCAAGGATGACCTTGAGCCAGCCCCTCCTGCTTCCCAAGTGCTGGGATTACAGGTGTGCCCCACCTTAACCCTTAAAATATTACACTCAGAGGTAATTTAAAAAATAATTATTTACATGGCAAATTCCTCATGCAGACTGATAAGTTTAAGATCTTACCTGCTGCCTATTCTAAAGATAAATACTTTTACTAAACACTGAACTCAGAACCTCACAGAGAAGGCAAGTTCTCTGTCACTGAGCTATAGTCCCAGCCTGGAAAGAAGAAATTTTAAGTAAATGAATGACTAGAAAACCTAACTTTAAATGTCTTCTCTTTACCTAGTCTCTGATTTTTATCGTGTGTTTAAAAGAAATCTTCATATATTTTTTTCCAAAGTTGTGACATTTATTACCATTTTAGAAACTCTCAGATTAGTCTATGAATAAATGACCTTGAATGCAGAGCTGGAGAGATAGTTAAGAGTGCTGTTTTTTTGATACAACTATTGCCTATGAAACACAAACACAAGACTCAGCGCCCACGTGGAGTTTATTGAGAGAGGGGAGAGAAAGGGGGGTAGCTGGTGGCCAACAGAAGGCAGGGGGAGAGAGAGAGAGGTGCGTTTGGCACACTTGCTTTAAAAGGGAAACTTGCACATTCGTAACTGAGTCCCCTGGCAGCCAGGTAAGTCATGAGTAGAGAAGACATGGCCGTGAGCGTCCCGCCCATCATCAGGGGCAGGGTCAGCAAACTGCTGGTTCCCAACAAAGAGTACTTGATGCTCTTAAAGAGGACCCAAATTCAGTTCCCAGCACCTGCATGGAGGCTTACAACCCTTAGTAATCCAGCTTCCTGGGTTCTGATGCCCTCTTTCCAACTTTATGGACACCAGGCATATTCGTGATGCATATAGACATATATGCAGGCAAGACATTCAGACATATAACTATTTAAAAAAATATTTTAGGTCTTGAACACATTTGGCGGAGGGGGGGATGCCCACAGGCCACTATTTGTCCTAGTAAGCATATACATCTGTCTATAATCTGCTAAAGGAAATTGATTGCCAGCACTTGGGAGGCAGAGGCAGGTGGATCTCTGTGAGTTCAAGGCCAGCATGTTCTACAGAGTGAGAAAAAGGAGGCTCGTTTCAAACTCTTCTAAGCTATTGGTCGGGATTTGGTTAATAGCATCTTGTACATGTGGTACTGAGGATAGAAGCTAGGGTCTTGTGCACACCAGACAATGTTCAACTAGCAAGCTACGTCCGCAGCACTCTTAATGCCATACTGTAGAGTCCTATTCAATTGGTTTTTGTTTTAGGGTTTTTTTTGAGGGGGTTGTTTCATTTGGATTTTTAAGATAGAGTTTCTCTGTGTGGCCCCGATACACTCAATGCAATTATACTGAAGCCCTTTGAATGCTGCAGTTTATAGGCATGAACAATCCCACCTGACTTCATTTTACTCCTTCTCCATAATATGTCATAACTTATAGGTCACAAAATGAGCCTACAGATTTGTAAAGTCTGTACTAGTGTGAGCAGGTTCAGGGTACCTGATATTCAATCAGCAGTCTACAGATACAGATCGCAAGTGTGAGGCTGCTGGATGGCTGATGAAATATGGAAATTCACTTGAAGGGGACTTGTGGTTGCAATACTCCATAGCCACCCATGTGCTGTTGCTGTCCTCACTGATGTCACCTTATTTTGTCTGTTTTTAGTTTTTCACAGGGTGGTGGATCATCATAGATGCAGCTGTTATTTATCCCAGTATGGAGGAATTCAACCACTCATACCATGCTTGTGGCGTCATAGCAACCATAGCCTTCCTCATGTAAGTGTGGTGTTACCTAGAGTGTCACAAACTAAATGGTCCTAGATACAATTTAAAATTCTGGTAGGTAAGAAGGACAGCTGGGCACAGTGGCACACTACTGAAACCTACAATCCCAGCACTCAGGAAACAGAGACAGGAGGATTGCTGCAAGTTTCAGGACAGCCTAGTCTACGCATGAAGTCCCATACCAGCCAAGACACTGATCTCAACAAACAAGACAAAAGGTATAGGCGGATGGCTCAGTGTTTAAGAAAAGACCTGAGTTTGATTCCCAACACCCTTTTGGTGGCTTACAGCCCCCTGGAACTCCAGTTCCAGGGGATCCAGTGCCCTTCTATGGCCTCTGCAGGTACCGTGCGTGCCTGTGTGCCTGTGTGTGTGTGTGTGTGTGTGTGTGTGTGTGTGTGTGTGTAAAACACTGGCGTGCATAAAATCTAAAAGAAGCAAGATAAAAATCCCAGCACTTGTGTAGGTTGAGGCAGGAGGATTGCTTCGAGTCCAGTCCCTTTCTCTCCACTCTGATAGCACCTCCCTACTTCCCTCTGCTGTGCTTGCTTCTGTTGTGGCAGAGTTTAGCATTTCCTGTTCGCCTCAGAAACAAGGTGTGCTTTCCTTACGGGCTTTTCACCCTCCCACAGGTACTTACTAGGTTTCGTAGTCAGCCTCTGTCCTCAGTGTGAGAGAAATGGTTAAGGCTAAAACAGGAGCAGTCCATAGGAGAGTGAGGTGGACAGTGAGATTAAGTGACAGCATGTTAAATGACTACTAGTGCAGATGGGAAAAAGCTGACAAGGGGCCAGGAGCTGGAGGGGAGGGGCCAGGAGCTGGAAGGGAGGGGTCAGGAGCTGAAGGGGAGGGAACAGGAGCTGGAGGGGAGGGGTCAGGGGTTGGAGGGGAGGGGCCAGGAGCTGGAGGGGAAGGGCCAGGAGCTGGAGGGGAGGGACCAGGAGCTGGAGGGGAGGGGCCAGGAGCTGGAGGGGAGGGGCCAGGAGCTGGAAGGGAGGGGTCAGGAGCTGAAGGGGAGGGAACAGGGGTTGGAGGGGAGGGACCAGGAGCTGGAGGGGAGGGACCAGGAGCTGGAGGGGAGGGGTCAGGGGCTGGAGGGGAGGGGTCAGGAGCTGGAGGGGAGGGGTCAGGGGCTGGAGGGGAGGGGTCAGGAGCTGGAGGGGAGGAAACAGGAGCTGGAGGGGAGGGGTCAGGGGTTGGAGGGGAGGGGCCAGGAGCTGGAGGGGTCAGGGGCTGGAGGGGAGGGGTCAGGAGCTGGACGGGAGGGGTCAGGGGCTGGAGGGGAGGGGTCAGGGGCTGGAGAGAGGTCTGGAGTAGGAGAGGGGTCTGGAGTGGGAGAGGGGCCAGGAACTGGGGAGGGAGCTGGAGAGGGAAGAAAGGCTCACTGAATCTGTGACTTCGAGTTTGAAATTTCCTTCTGGTTCTTGCCTTCTAGCTGTACAATAATTACGTTGTCCCCTGGTGTTCCTATCCTGTCTCTCTGACTGGCCCTCTGTGCTTGGCAAGTTGTCATGGGTTCTCATCTCTTTGTCCTTTTGTGCCATCCCCCATCCTGCTGAATGAATTCCAAGGACTTTCCTTGACTCTGTGCCTGTATGTTTCCTTAATTACAAGTGCTTCCTCTGGGAACAGCTATTTCTTTTCCTAAGGTTTATTTATTATGTATACAGTCTTTTGCCTGCATGTGTTCCTGCAGACCAGAAGAGGGTACCAGATCTCATTATAGGTGGTTGTGAGCCACCATGTGGCTGCTGGGAATTGAACTCTGGACCTCTGGAAGAATAGTCAGTGCTCTTAACCTCTGAGCCATCTCTCCAGCACCCCAGCTATTGTTTTTGAGATAGGGTCCCACTATGTAACCAGATTGGTCTGGAATTGGTTATTTTCACACTGGAACCTCCCAATGCTGGGTTACATATGTGCACCGCCCCCCTCAGGCCTGGCCTTGACATGCTTCAGTCTTTTGCTCAGATATCTGTTAACCCTTGGCATCCATTCTTTCTTGAGGAGTCTGAGAGGTTGAGAACACTTGAGTCCCAGGTCAGGACTTCAGCTAGGGTGAATGGATAAGGTGTGGCTGTCCTGCTGAACACCAGGGTAAGGGGGGCTTACCTCTGGTCTTCAGTGCTCTCAGTCATTGGAATTCTCCCCATAACATTCTTGTAATACTAAGGAGAAAAGTCACCCCACCACCCTGCTTATGAGGACAAGTAGTGGCCTGGCCTGCTGTAGGCCAGAGGGATTGGCAATTTGTGACCACAGCTAAGTTTGCAAACCGAGTTCTATTGAGTCATCACCACACCCTACTGTTGCTGTCTGCATCTTCTCTCTCCATGCATATGTGCATATGCATGCTTGTGTGTATGCATTCTCCTTGGCCTTGGGATGCAACTCAGGGCCTTGAGCATGGCAAACAAGCGCTCTGGCATAGCCATACCCTTATCCTTACTCCACGTGTGGTTATAGGTGCTTATTTGTGATGGTGTGACAGACGTTTCATCGTTCATAGCCATAAAATATTCTGTGATCTTTAAGGAAATTCAGACAAACTCAAGGAAAGTTTACACGTGCTGAGAAGGCAGACTAAATGAGGAGAGAATTTATTCCTATATCCACAGACATTTGATGGCCCTGTGCCCAGCCTACTTCTCTCTCCTGCCCCAATAAGCCTTTTATTCCCCGTGCTGTGCCTTCCCCATGCAGACAGAGTGTGAGCTCCTGTGTCCTTCCCCTCTGCTTCATACATGCAGAGGAACTTCATCTGAAACAGATGCCAGCACTCTGTCTTTATTGTATATTATATGCTTGTTGTATAGCCCAGGCTAGCCTGCAATGTTATGCTCCTCCTGCCTCAGGTGCTGGGTATATTTGCACTTATATGTACATCTGTATCAGTCTCTGAGATTAAGTCAGAACTCTTTCATCTGTCCAGATGTGCCTCTCTCCAGATGTTTCTCTCTCCAGATGTCCCTCTTGTTCCTTCTCTGTCTGCAGCTCACAGAGGCTGTGTGCCAGGGGGAAGTGAAAATACATCTACGCCAAGTACAGGGACCTCAAAGAATTTATTTTAGCCTGTATTTTACTTACTTACTTACTACAAAGCTCTGACTTTGTAGACCAGGCTGGCCTTGTACTCACAGAGATTCACCTCTCTGCCTCTCAAGTGCTGTGATCAAAGGCTTGTGCTACCACCTTGTGTCTATGCTGTATTTCATAATTATTGAGAGAAATAGAAAAATTCAAAGGTTTTAGTTTAAAATAAAAAAAAAATTTTTTTTTTTCTCCTCCAGAATCCATTCAAAATGAGTCCCTGGGCTTGGTGGTGGACACCTATAAATCCCAGGACTTAGAGTCATCCCTTTCACACTTTCCCTAGTCCAGCTACCAGATGCCACACATACAAGCACACAGGTCCAGACAAGGTGAAGGTCTGTGCAGTGGGAATAGAAGTGTGGAAGTCTCAGCAGGTTGGGAAGGCTGTTTGTGTTGGAGGAAGTGCACACTTCATTCCTGATCTTGCTATGTTTGAATAGGGTCCACCCCACATCCAGGATGGTCTTGAACTCCTGCCTCTGTTTTCCATGTTCTGAGACAACTTTTTGAGAATTTTTTGTTTGTTTTTTTTTTGTTGGTGTTGGTTTGGTTTCGTTTGATTTGGTTTTTCGAGTTAAGGTTTCACTGTGTAGCCCTCACTATCCTGGAACTTGCTCTGTAGACCAGGCTGTTCTCAAACTCAGAAATGTGCTAGCCTCTGCCTTCTCAGTGCTTGGATTAAAGATGTGTATTACCACCACCCAGCCAATTTTTATGAGAATTTTTTTAAAGATTTATTTATTTATTATGTATACAGTGTTCTGTCTGCACTATGCCTACACACCAGAAGAAGGCACCAAATCTCATTATAGATGGTTGTGAGCCACCATGTGGTTGCTGGGATTTGAACTCAGGACCTCTGGAAGAAGCAGCCAGTGCTGTTAACCTCTGAGCCATCTCTCCAGCCCCTGCTGGAGTTGTTTTCAAGGTTAATTTTTAACAGTAATGTATGGGGGTATGTGCATGTGAGTGAAGATCCCCCAGGAGCTGCATTTACAGATGGTTGGTGAGCTAGGATGTGAACTTGGGTCTTCTGCTTTGCAGTACATGCTCTTGACTGCCAAGCTGGTCACTCAGTTTTTCACAAGCAGTCAAATCACCCGAAAAATTTGTTAATACTAGTTTTGTGGCTCCACGCTGTAGATTCTGCCTCAGTAAGTTTAAGGTGAGGGTAGAAGCTTTCAAACAAAGCCATTTCTCCCAGTCTAGACCACAGCTATTGACTCCATGGCATGTCTTACTTGAAGGGACTTCCTTAAGTGACTTGATTCGTGTGGACCCGTGACACGAGACTCAGGAGACCTCACCTTGAGAAACCCTAACTTATTGCATTTAATAATTTGATGTTATAGATAGCATCTCCTTGGAGGGAAAGCTCCTGACTTCTCGCTTTTCCTCCTCCCACAGGATTAACGCAGTGTCAAATGGACAAGTACGAGGTGACAGCTACAGTGAAGGCTGTCTGGGCCAGACAGGTAAAATAGGCACCAGCATCTTACTATGAATCTTTCTTCCCTGAAGTGAGAGACTACACAGAAGGGTGCTTGCCAAGCTGCTTGTGTCCTGGTGTAGGATGGGGTGCTGGATTCCAAGCAGACTGTGAGTGCAAAAACCACCAGGCTTGAATATATGAGCTCAGCAGTAATAAGTAGCCTTAATTGTCTACAGGCTGCAGCAGAGAGCAATATTTGCAAAGCACAATCTGAAGCACATTGAACTACCTGAATTTGGTTGTATTAGCACTTTTTGTTTGTCTTCCTAGACAAACACTATGGAGCCTGTGGCTGGCCTGGAACTATAGATGTGCATCACTATACCTGGCTTGCATTTTGAAATAGTTTGTAATCTTAGACTTTTTTTAAAATTTATTTACTTATTTTTATTATATATACAATGTTCTGTCTGCATATCTGCCTGCAGGCCAGAAGAGGGCAGCAGATCTCATGATAGATGGTTGTTGTGAGCCACCATGTGGTTGCTGGGAATTGAACTCAGGACCTCTGGAAGAGCAGTCAGTGCTCTTAACCTCTGAGCCATCTCTCCAGCCCCACCCCCCAACTTTTTTTTTTAATGTGTGTGGATGCTTTGCCTATGTGTTTGTCTGTGTACCACGTGTGTGCCTGATGATAGCAGAGGCCAGAAGAGAGTGTTGGCTCTCCATGTGGGTTCTGGGAACCAAACCTAGGTCCACCAGAAGAGCAGCAGCAGTGTTTCTATCTGCTGTGCTTTCTCTAAGCCCTGTGTCTAGCTATTTAAGAAGGTTCAAGGGATGCCATTAGGTCATCAGACTTGAGTAACAAGCACATTATCCACTGAGCCATCTCAGTGGCCCCTGGCTTTGATACAGGATCTCGGGTAGCCTAGGCTAACTTCAAACTTCATACAGTCCAGTCAAGTATGGCCTTGAACTTCTGATCCTCCTGCCTCAACCCCTCAAGAGTGTGGATCACAGGCATGTGTGCCGTCATGCCTGGTCCATTGTGGGTTGTTTTTTATATTGGTTTATTTCTTTTTGTTGCTGTTTCGAGACAGGGTTGTAAGGAGTATGGTTTTTCCTGCCGGCCTCTGGTCTTGTCCCACCGCCGTTCCAGCCCCAAATAACACACTGAGACTCTGTATTTGATATAATGCTGTTGGCCAGTTACTTGTTTCTTATCAGCTAGCTCTGTCTTAATTATTAACCCATTTCTGTTAATCTCTGTATTTCCACGTGGTCTCATCTTACAGGAGAGCCTGCTGGCGTCCTGCTCTCTCCAGACTCTCCATCTTGACTCCTCCTTTCTACTTCCTCTTTCATCCTTGGCTCCTAGTCCCTCCTCTCTTGCTTTCCTATTGGCCAACAGTGCTTTGTTCATTAACCAGTATGAGAAACATATTTACAGAATGGCATCTCCCATCACAGGGTTTCTCTGTGTTTTCCTGGCTGTCTTGTCACTCACTCTGTAGACCAGGCTGCCTTGAATTTGGAGATCCACCTCCCTCTGACTCCCAAATGCTGGGGTTAAAGGCATGTACCACCACCTGCAGGCATATATTTGTTTATTTCTGTTGTGTGTATGTTACAGAGTCTCTGTAGCGTTTGCTGGCCTACACCATACCTCACTGTGTAGTTCAGGCTGGCCTTCCCTCTACCTCAACCACCCTGGTTGACGATTGAGTGTGGGTATACACACGCCATAATGCCTTTATGGAGGTTAGAGGACAGCTTATCAGAGTCAGTTCTCTATTGTTACCATTTGGATTGCAGGAAGCAAACTGAGGTGTCAGGCTTGGCAATGTGTCCCTTACCTGAACCCCCCCATCAGCCCTTTTGTCTTTGAGGCAGGGTCTTGTGTATCACAGGCTGGCCTTGAACTTCAGACCCTCCTGCCTCTAATTGTTGGGATCATAGAGGTACATACATATTCAGCTTGGAATTTGGTTGTCTTTGTAAAGTCGGTAACCGTCTGCTGAGCAGCTGTGCTAACATGGTGTCTTTGCAGGCGCTCGCATCTGGCTCTTCATTGGTTTCATGTTGGCCTTTGGATCCCTGATTGCATCCATGTGGATTCTCTTTGGAGGTTATGTCGCTAAGGGTAAGGAAATGCTGCCTACGTTTTAATCTCAAGCTTGGATTTTTTGTATCAAAACTGCCTACTTGGCTGGGCAGTGGTGGCAGCGCATGCTTTTACTCCCAGCACTCGGAGGAAACTCAGGAAGCAGAAGCAGGCGCATCTCTGAGTTTGGATCTCTGTGAGTTCAAGGTCAGCCTGGTTACAGAGTGAGTTCCAGAACAGAAACTCCAAAACTATACAGAGAAACCTTGTCTTGAAAAACCGAAAGAAAACAAAAAAAAGAAAAACTACTTTTGGATAAACTTTTTAAAATAATATTTTATGTGTAGATGAGCCAACTATTGCAATGTATTCTGCCTAGAGACATCTCCTTCCATCAGTAGATAGCTTTGCATGGTTTTTTTTCTTCCAACGTGGTGCTTTGAAGGAATGGGATACAACTCTGAGCCCTGCTATCAACTCCAGAGTAGAATCCTCAGTCCTGTGACCCGAGAGGAGCGTCTTAAAAAGAGAGGGGCTGTCTTGGCTCTGGCCCGAGCATACAGTTGAGGGGCACATGACTCCAAGGCTCTGATGCTGATAGAGCCGGATGGGATGGCTCAGTGTACCAGAGATGCTCACCACACAGCAGCCAGGAAACAGAACCAACAGGCCTCCAGTTCAAAGCCTGTCTGTCCCCTGTGGCCCACCCAGTTCAAAGCCTGTCTGTCCCCTGTGGCCCACCCAGTTCAAAGCCTGTCTGTCCCTTGTGGCCCACCTAGTTCAAAGCCTGTCTGTCCCCTGTGGCCCACCTCTTGTAGGGAGGGCCTGCCTGCCCAGTCCCGCCACTCCCACTGGTCTCAAGAGTTTATATCCATGGTTGAATTCGCTCATTGATTAGGTCATGCACTCTCGTGATCTGTTGTGGGGTGTTCATGGATATGCTGTAGGCAAGTTGCCAGTGACTAGCTGTCACATCTCTGCAGAGCTCTAACAGCACTGTAAGGTGCTAAGGATTGAGCCCACAGCCCTCGCAGGCAGCCACTCTCCCACTGAGCTAGTCCACAGCCCTCGGATTTTTTGGTTTTATTTATTTTTATTTTGGTGAAACAGACTCTTTTGTAGCCTTGGCCTCGGATTCCCATCAATCCTCTTGCCTCACTCAGACTCCCAAATTCTGGGATTATAGGTGTTCAGCATCAAACCAGGATTACGTTCCTGCTGTGTAGCTTAGGGTGGCCTGGAATTAGCAATTCCCCTTCTCCACCTACCGAGTGCGGAGGTTACACGTGTTTACCACATTGTCACATTTAGTCAACATTTATTCAGTTATGCCTCCTTGGTAATGTGGGGTTAATCTCCTTTTACATAGGAAAAATAATTAAAAGTTGCATGTGCTGTTAAGGCCAGAGCTGGAAAAGGCCTTGGGTCCCTGACTGATGCTCCACTTGAGAGACCTTAGAGAAATAGGAAACATATTTAGTAGTCCAGAGAAAATAGGCCATGCTGTCATAGTAAAAACATAGTGCCAGGCAAAGCTTGGACCAGCCTCATCTGATTTGGTTGATTGTTTTGTTGCTGTTGTTGTTATGAGACACACTCTCATTATGTAGCCCTGGCTGTGTTTATTAATGTGGAACAGCAGAGGCCTAGACAAAACTTCAGGCTGTTTTGGGATAAGAAAGAGCTGAGAGCCTGCGCCTCTGGGCTCTGAGCTGTCATTCAGTGAGTACTGTGACAGCCTGGGGGCAGAGGTGCTGAGGTCTCAGCTCAGGGTTCCTGCAAGGCCCTGCAGTGTCTTCCTCCTCTCAGCTAAGGCTACTGAGTCCTTCCACATGTGTAGGCCTGTCAAAGGACGCGCCCCTCTCTCTCTCTCACCCTGAGCATCCAGTCTGGGGTGTGTGCACCCTGACAGCCTCCTCTTGACACCTCCATGACTGTCACCCTCTTTCGCCCACCACAGCCTTTTCCTGCTGCCCTAAAAGAACCTCCTAGCAGGTTGCCTGCCACTCCCTTTGCCTGCAGCGGGGTCCTGTTAGGACAGGTTGGCTCATGTCACAGTCCCCTGTCACGATTGCCTGTCCCCTCGCCTCCCTGTTCTCCCTTGTCTTATCCAGCAGCCATTCCTCTCCCATGCTGGCCACTCCTGCCTCAGGGCCTCTGCCCCCTGTGGCTCTGCTTGTCCCCTGCCCTGGCTCTGGTGTCTGCCCTTTGCAGGGTCTTCCTGGCCTCCGGGGCTAATGTGTCCATGTGCCCTACTCCCTCTTCTGGGTTGCTCTGTCTTCTCCGATTGTCCCAAGGGCCGGTGGTGCGGCTCCCTGAAGGCCAGACAATTGTCAGTTGTGTTCTACGGGGTCCTCGGCGTATCTCACAGGGTCCTTTATGTATACTGTGTCCTCAGGAAGTACTAGTAGCTGAACAGAGGGATCCGACATCTACTGAGCCAGTGCTGCCTGCCGTGTATTATGTCATTGAATCTTCCCATCACTGCTGCTAGAATTGTCAGTTGTGCTAGGCAAGAAAGCTGGTGTTTGCTAGTCTCCCTGGACCCAACTGTTTGGAAATTGTTAACCTCTAAGTTTACAATTGTTTTCACAGAAAAGCCCGTAGTATATCCTGGAATTGCTGTATTTTTCCAGAATGCCTTCATCTTTTTTGGGTAAGTTCTGATTTTCATTCTTAATCGCACATGTGTGCATGTATTCGTTAAAGGAAGGAATTGGTCTGTAACCCCGGCTGAATACAGACTCCTGGACTCAGGCAGTCCTTCAACTTCCTAAGCGGCAGGAACCACCAAGTGTGTGCCACTAGGCCTGGCAGGGTTTTTCCCCACCTCATGCATTCTAGGCATTAGCGCTATCGTGGGCCTCCACCCCTTAGCCCTTAGCCTTTGGCTTCTTGGCATTTGAATTCTGAGGTGCTGTTTCTTCACCCAAAAATACCTAGTTATGATTTCTATCCACTGATAAAACACCAGAACCAAAGCAACTTGGGGAGAAAGGGTTTATTTGGCTTACACTTTGAAATCACTGTCACTGAAGGAAGTCAGGACAGGAGCTCAAACAGGACAGAAACCTGGAGGCAGGAGCTGATGCAGAGGCCATGGAGGGTGCTGCTTACTGTTTGCTCCTTGGGGCTTGCTCAGTCTGCTTGTTTCTAGAACTCAGAACACCAGCCCAGTGATGGCTCCACTCACAATAGACTGGGTCTTCTCTCATCAATCACTACTTAAGAAAATGCCCTACAGGCTTGCCTACAACCCAGTCTTAGGGGGTGTTGAGGGGGCATTTTTTTTAAAAAATTGAGATTCCCTCCTCTCTGGTGATTTTATTTAGCGTGAGTCAAGTTAACATAAAATTAGGCAGCAAACCCCATCTCATCTGAACTCCTGTTTACCCATCAAAGCCCATTTCAAATATGGCCGTCCTTTGGATCCTTTGCATACTTTAGTGACTTCTTTATTATTATTGCATATGCATATGGAGGTGAGTGTGCATATGCGCACACGTGTTAGCACGCATGTGGCGGTTAGAGGACAGCTTTAACAGTTGCTTCACTCTTTCCACTTTTACATAGGTTCCTTTTACATAGGAAACTGCTTGTCAGGCTTTCTCAGCAAGCACTTCACCCATGGAGCCATTGCCCTGCTTTCGTCTGAATCAATTTCAAATGCATTCAGAAACTGACAGCAAGGCATAGTGCTTTACGCTTATAATCGTAGCAGTGGAAGGCAGAGGCAGAATTGCCATAAGTTCAAGGATAGTGTGGTTTGTATAGTAGGTTCCTTGCCAGTCAAGGCTACAGCCTCCTTGATGTTTGGTGTGTGTGTCTGCCACCCGCCAAAGGCCACCCACTGAAGTATATGACGCGCGTCATCAGATGTGAGCAGCTTAGGGATAAAGACTGTGGGCCTAACACACTAAGACAACCCATGAAGGTATATGGATGGGCTGGAGCCAGCATGCTCACCCCAGGCCTGGGGCCAGCATGCTCACCCCAGGCCTGGGTTCCATCCCTTGCTCACCCCCAAAAGTCTTGTTGGATCAAGTAGGTAATGAACACTACCAAATACTGGCTGGCTTTTCAGAAGCCTCAGCAGTAAGAGCTCAGGTCTGGGGACAGTGACAGTAAGTAGCAGTCTGGCATTATGAAGAATTCATGTCTCTAGGACAGTCAGCGTGTGTGGATCACGGATGCTTTTCTTCAGCGTGTGTCGTGAGGTTTCTCTGTGATGTATGTTGTGCTTCCTGCTCTGTCCACAGAGGGCTGGTGTTTAAGTTCGGCCGCACGGAGGACTTGTGGCAATGAAGATACCCACCGGCCCGCCTCTGCAGCACAGCCACCTGCATGGGATTTTTTTTTTTTCACTGCTCACCCAGTCTTTTGTAATGCTGTTTTCTAAACGTATTTCTGAGTATAATCTCAGCTTAAAATTGTATAATGCTAGAATCATGAGAACTCGTATGTAAACTGCAACAGTCTAGTATGGCGTGCTCCTATTCAGCTTTTGCAATGGGAAGGGAAACTGTTGACATGAGTAACTTTGTCAGCTTCTATCATGGTCTGAGAAATGGTGGAGCCTTCAGGGTGAGGATTTGCTCTGGGATCCAAAGTGTTTGTTTACTAAGCACGGCCTCTACCGTGTCCAATGTGGAATAATGTATAAACATTTTCTTGTTATTAAAAACCGTTCAGTGGTCAGAGTGCTTTTTCATTATACTGTATATATGGCTTGTGTGGTCCTACCTGGAAATTGTGCAGCTTCCTTTTCATGTGAAAATGGCTCCTGACTCTCTCGAACCAGAAGACCATTCAAAGAATGTAGGTCAAGAGCTTCAAATATCTGTTCCCACTAAGAACACCTGTGCCACACAGACTATTGAGTATGTGAAAGATGGCACTTTAAAGAAGGACTGTGTGCCATTCCGAAGGAAAAATGGAAGAAGTGGCCAGACCCAACAGTGGGGCTGGACAGTGGCAGTGGCGCATGCCTTTAATCCCAGCACTCAGGAGGCAGAGGCAGGAAGAACTCTGTGAGTTCGAGGCCAGCCTGGTCTACAAGAGCTAGTTCCAGGACAGGCTCCAAAGCCACAGAGAAACAAAAAAGAAAAAAAAAAAAGAAAAAAGAAAAGAAAGAAAGAAAGAAAAGGAACAACAGGGGACTGTAGAACTGAAGGGTTTGGACATAGATTCTTCAGTCATTGGAGATATCCGGGAGAACTGAGCACCCAAGACACACCAGACTTACATGGTTAACCTGTGTCCCAGCGCCACAGCCAATGGAAATGCTCCTTGAAGAGAAGGACAGAATTCCTTGGAGCCAGCAGAGGAGGCTGCCCAAATAGTGACAACCCAGAAGAAACTGAAGAAATTCCACATGAAATAAATGCAAGTAAAAGGGAGAGACACTGGTGAACATTTCAGTAAGTGGAACTTCATTCGGGGCCTCCCAGAGACAGCGAGAGTACACTAGAGAAGCCCAGGCCACCACCAGGCTCCCATCCCTTCTGTGGACATCGCCATCGAATTGCTAATTCAGATAAGAGCACATAACCAGCTGTGACATGGGGTCCTGGTGGGTACAGATGCAAAGAAGAAAGGGCACAGGTGACAATTTCCAGGACTTGACAGCTTCTAGCTTGGGTGAAATCTCCTTGTTTCATTTTTGACTTTTGAGACAAAGGGTTTCTCTGTGTGGCCTTAGTTGTCCTGGAACTCTCTCTGTAGACCAGACTGGCCTCAAACTCACAGAGATCTGCCTGCCTCTGCCTCCTGAGTGCTGGGATTAAAAGTGTGCACCACCACCACCACCTGTTTGACATTTTTTTTTTATAGTGGTTTGAATTCTGTGTTTCATTTTACCGCTCAAAAGATAATCCAAGTTCAGCACACCCCTCAGTTGGTTAGCATTACACAGACCAGCTGTTTGTTCCCCCTGGAACTATTGGCCTCCCCGAAACACACCACACCCCCCAGGTCCCACCGTACATAACAATACAAATTTTTCAGAGCAGAGCTTGAAGTCTCAGCCTTCATTGTGCTGTTGCAGTTGCCCACTGGGAGCCATGATTGCTGTCATGGATGGCTTAGATGTGCTGCCATGGGTTTGAAAGATGCTGGCTTGTCAGAACACAAAGGACCACTTCGCTGCCGTCCTCCATGGTATCACAAATCCACAGGTGATAGATTTGAGTCTACCTCTTAGGAACTTGAAAAAATGCACCATCGCCCCATAACCGGCCCCACCTTCTCCCCATCCTCTGAGGGATCCAAAGCCTGTGTGCAATGACCAGATGTGAGGTTCTTAGTTTCCCGTCACTTCCTGTGCTGCTGTAGCCAGAAGTTAACCACCTGGGTAGTGGTGATGTTAAGTGTGGGAAGAACGAAACAGTTGTCGACAGAATTGGACCAGAACTTTAATGAAGCGCCTGCAGCAAACAGCATTGATTGTATCTGTCATGAAATGAAACATTTGAACTTGGAAGACTTTCTTGTAACACATTACAAACACAAATGGAATGCAACGAGAGGGACATCTCCACCGTCATCATCCTCATTCTCAGATGTTTCCTTAAAACCCAACAGCCAAGTGAGGGAACTGTGAAGGCAAAACACACATTGCATTTTATTTCTCTGGTTTTGGTTTTTAGGGACAGTTTCTGTGTTAGATCTGGCTGTCCTGGAATTTACTATGTAGAGTAGGCTGGGATCCGACTGTCACATTCAAAATCTTAGGAGAGATCTTAGTTCTATATTTCTCTTTATTTTTCATTGATTTGTTTTTTGGTGTGTGTGTGTGTGTGTGTGCGTGCTTAAATTGTTTTTTAAATATTTAGCCTGTCAGCGATGGCACACACCTTTAATACCAGAACTCGGGAGGCAGAGGCAGGAGGATCTCTGTGAGTCGAGGCCAGCCTGGTCTACAGGGTTTCTCTGTGTAACTGCCCTGGCTGACCTGGAACTCCCAATTAAAGGTGGTGTGTTATCACCACCTTAAGGCAGGGGCTCAGTGTAGCCTCAGCGCAGTCTGCACACACACAGGATTGCCCTTTCTTGGTAGAAGAACTCTCTAGTGGCTTGGCTGCTTTGCTTTTCTGATCTTCAGCTTTAACTCCAACATCTGTCACTGGGGTTTTTTTTTTTTTTTTTCATGCTACATTGGCACCCAACTTTTAGGGTACAAATTCATGAAAAGGCTGCTTGCCTTTGCAGCCACTGGCACAGGCCAGAGCTGCATGCAGGGCTCACTCCGGAGTCGCTGTCCAACTGGCTAGGTTTTCTTTTGTTTTCCCCCCCCAAGCCTCTGAGCAAGTTTGGGATTTTCCTGTTGTAGTCTCTAAAACAATCTCCAATGGGCCTCCATTTCCTTATGTTTAAGCTTGAGGCACTTGAAGAGGACTCCCATGAGTTGTCCTCTGATCTCCTTGAAAACACACACACACACACACACACACACACACAAACACACTAAATCTTATCATGTTAATAACTTGAAAAATCTTACCTCCCAGAAAGCCTGATCATCAAAGTACTTGGTTGTGTGGGGAGCTCTCCACACTTTGAAAGTTAGGAGCCAACCTTAAACAAGTGATAGTTAAATGTTAAAATATGCAGAGCTCATTTGTTACCTCAAGATCACTGAAATAAACTGGGTGGTGGCACATGCCTGTAATCCCATCACTTGGGAGGCAGAGGCAGGCAGATCTCTGTGAGTTCAAGGCCATCCTGGTTGGTCTACAGAGTGAGTTCCAGAACAGCTTGGGCTGTTACACAGAGAAACCCTGTCTCAGAGAGAGAGAGAGAGAGAGAGAGAGAGAGAGAGAGAGAGAGAGAGAGAGAGATCCCACATTCATTCTATAGATATATCCTATGAAACCATGAGACTGCAGGGCTGAAGTCAATACCCAGCAGCATCCAATGGGTGTGGATCTGACAACCTTCCCCAAGACAGACTAGAAGGGCCTTGGCACAGCAGAGAGAGATGGCATCCACCTGTAACCTCAGCACTCAGGAGGCAGAGGCATGAAGATCACCAGTCAGACTCCTTTGGCTTCATAGTGAAACCCAGGAAGGAAGCGAGGGATAGAGGGAGGGAGGGGGAAGATGAGGAGAAAAGGAGGAAAGATGATGATGAGGAATGATGGATCTGTCTCAAGCACAAGAGTACCTTGGAGAGCGACACCCTTGCTGCCCACAAGGGTCAGAAGAGGGCAGTGGATCCCTGGTCCTGGAGTAGTTAGGAATGGCTGTGAGCACCATGCAGGTACTGGGAATTGAACCTGGGTCCTCTGCAAGAGTAGCCAGTGCTCTTGTGCTGAGGCCCCTCCCTCTCCAGCTCTCCAAGTTATTTGTAATCACCAGTTCTCTAATGTTGTGATGAGTCACAAGAAAGCTAACTGGTCTCCACTCAGCATGAACCATTTTCCCCCTGTGCTCTTTTGACACCAGCAAAACAAAGAAAGTTGCCCAGAAGCATGGTGTTTAGGATGCTGAGGCAGGAGGGTAGAGAGTTCCAGACCAGCCTGGGCTACTGAGTGAAGCACCGTCTCAGAAAAAGAAAAAAGAAAAGAAGGGAGGGGAGACGAGAGGAGAGGAGCGACTTCCTGTGCTAAATTCAATGCACTGTGGGCAGTGTGCTCACTACAGTGGGCAGTATGCTCACTACAGTGGGCAGTGTGCTCACTACAGTGGGCAGTGTGCTCACTACTGTGGGCAGTGTGCTCACTACTGTGGGCAGTGTGCTCACTGCAGGGTCCACTCCAGGAGGCTTGAGCATTTATTCTCTCTGTTGTCCAGAGCAACTGGTTCATAGCAGAGATCAGATGCACCCAGCTGATTCTTTCATTTTTTTAAAAAAACAGCATTTGATGGGCTGGAGCGATGGCTCAGAGGTTTAGAGTACTTGTTCTTCTAGAGGTCTCAGGTTCAACTCCTAGCACCTACATGATGGCTCACAATTGTTTGTAGCTCCAGTTTCAGAGGATCCATCTCTCTTCTGTCCTCCTTAGTCAGTAGGCATGCAAGTATAACATAGACATACGTTCAGGAAAAACACCCATACACATGAAATAAAACTAAAAAAATAAATCTCTTAAAGGTCATCATGTAACCAGGCGGTGGTGGCTCATGCCTTTAATTCCAGCATTCTGGAAACAGAGGCAGGAGGATCTCTGTGAATTCCGGGTCAGGGCTCCATAGAGAAAAGCAGGAGCTGAGGGGTGCATTCTGGAGAACCTGGCCAGGCATGTACACCTGTAACATGGCACCCTCTAGTGGACGAAGGCCTGATACTGCACTGACCTGTTAGGAGTCCAGATGCCATTCCCATTGCCAGAACAAAGCTGAGAGCTCCAAAGTCATTGATCAACTGGCTGGTAACCCTAGAATGGACAAAGCAGAGAGGCCACTCACATATCAAGCTGCAGGCCTGGGGACAAACAAGACAGATGGCATTGGTGGTGACATGGTCAAGAAGGACTGAAGAAACCAAGTGGCCTTTCCCCAGCTGCCATGTCCCTGCCACTTTCTTGCAGAGTTATGCAGATGTAGTTGGAATAGGAAAGGTTCCACGGTCCTCTCTGGCACATCAAAGTCTCCAGACTCCATGGGTCAGCCCAAGCCTGGCCGACACTGGCTCTTTAGTGTAATCTTACACTCAGAGGCGTTGAATAACCCAGCTTCCCCCTTCAGAGCTCATTAATCCAGGCTGGCCTCCACCAGGCTATGTGGTAGGCTCTACCTCTACCAAGTTTGAGCTCTTGGTCCTCCTACCTCCATCTGCCAAGTTCTGGGATCCAGATGTATGCCACCACACCCAGTTTTTGTGCTAGAGGATGGAAAAGTTTCTACTGGCTGAGACACATCCCCTCTCCTAACCAAGCCCCTTAGGGCACTGCTCCTCTTTCTTGATGCAACAGTCAACAGACAAGTAGAAACACAAGAAAACAGAAGGCAGGGCTCAGCTACTGGAGCATCATCCTTGCCTGTGTACTTTGGCTCGTATTAAAATAGCACTCCTTGCTTGGCCTTCTCTCTGAACTCTAAGACAATTACAAAAAGTTGGAAATAGAGCCTTCACTACCACCTCCACAAATGCTTCAATGCTGCTCTTGACTCCATTGTAACACTTAACACTTGGACCTCAACCACCATGGCTGTCAGAAAGTGTCTCAGTGGGCTTGAACCCAATTGGCCTGCTGTGTTGGCTTGTGGGGCCTCCAAACTGTGTACCTGTGTGCCTGTGTCCTGGTCTTAAGCTGCCCCCTTTTGAGAAGAAGTGGCCTGGAGAGCTGGTAGCTCCATGCAAAGTATAGGTTAGGAACATTTCTGAAGTCAGATGTGGTATTCACACCTATAATCCCAGCATTTAGGAGGCTGAAGCATGAGTGAGTTCTAGGCCAATCTGAGCTATAGTGTAAGACTCTATCTAAAAGAAAAAAATCTAAGACAGGGTTTCTCTGTGTAATAGCTCTGATTGTTCTGGAACTCACTCTGTAGATCAGGTTAGCCTGTAACTCACAGAGATTCACCTATCTCTGCTTCCTGAATGCTGGGATTTAAGACCTGCACCACTATGCCCAGCTCACCCTGCCTAAATGTAATAATTAAAAACAAAAATGTTTTCTGAATTAGTTGACTCTGGGTACATGTCCTCCAAAGTTGGACGCAGGTTAAGGAAAGAGGCCAAGACACCCACTTGAATATACGGTAGTTGCTCTGCACAGACATCAGACAGTAGGTGACTGCTCCTAGCAGACCAGGCAAGCCGAAGGTGTAGTGGATACCATTGGGGTTCTGGATCTGCAGCATGCGGTTCAAACACACCTAGCGACAACAAAACAGTGTTATAAGTAGATCTATAAGCAAGACCCGTAGCCCCTCTCAGTTCTATAGGTTCTTGACACCAGGTCCACCAAAGGGAGTAGACATGGAGGCTCACTGAAAGATGGCTTATCGGTACATTCACCTCTTCCCCACCCCCCAGAAACCTTTCCAATGTCAAAACGAGAGGCCCAGAGACATGACTCAGCAGCCAGGAGCACTGGCTGCTCTTCTACAGGTCCTTCAGAACTTCAGGGTCAGTTCTGAGCACCCTCATGGTGGCTTCCCACCATCTGTAATTCCTGTTGTAGAGGATCTGACCTCCAAATTCTGCATGTGGTCCACAAAAGTACATTCAGGCAAAACCTTCACACGAATAAAAAACAAAAGTTTGATTAAAAAAAAAATCTCAGAAAGGCCAAGAATATAGATTGATGGAAAGGAAAATGCTTTCCTAGAAGATGCAAAGGTCTGGTTTCCATCCTCTGGCATGCACACACATGCACACATGCACACACATGTGTGCTCACACACACAAGTAGAGGATTTACTGGCTGGGGCTGTGGGATAAGGACTGGGATCCTGCAATTCTGACAAACTTCCCAATGATGTTGTCACAATTGGAATGTGACATGGCCCCCACAAGTTCATGGGATAGAGCATCTGCCACCACAACCCCATGATTATCCTGTTCTAGGAAACTGTTGAGACAGTTTCCCAGCACTTGGGAGGCAAAGGCAGGCAGATCTCTGTGAGTTAGAGGTCAGTCTGGTCCACAGAGCTAGGTCCGACACAGCCAGGACTGCTTTACAGAGAAACCCTGTCTTGAAAAACCAAAGGGGATGGGGAAAAAGCTTTTCTTAAGGTGTAAATATTTCAAAATTTGTAAGATTTGTCATGATATTAATGGTAACAGAGAGGACTAACTAATTCTAGAAAAAGGCTTCATCTAGCTTCCTGTACATGTACATGATTTCAGGTTTGAGTCTCCATCAGGTAACTAGGAATTAAGTTTTTATACTCTGGATGTACGTAACAAATTATGGCCCTTTAACCTCTTGGAGATCTGCTGCCCATGACATTTAAAATGTTTACATTTTCTGCAGTGAATCATGACCACACCTAACAGTGACCTCTGAAGTCTCCAAAAAGGAGGATGGGGCCCCATAATGACATTTCCACCAGGACTATGTTAATATCACTAAGCTGACAAACACCACACAACGATCGACTTTGAACTACAAACTGCTCAGAACAATTTCAAGGTGGCTAGCTGAGATGTTGGTCCAGCCTCACAGACTACTCTAGCCAAGACTTGAGATCAGCCTTCCACTTATGCATTCCATAGAGATTGGATAACAAATGATACAGCTAGCTCTCCCAGGACTTGATATCCCAAAATTTTTCAGGGGCTCCTAAAAAGCCATCACCCCCAGACAGCAGGGATTAGTTTTAAGAACACAGTGTCCACATTCCCAAGAAGTGGGGTGGGCAGGTTTTGGTCATTCAGTGGGTTATGGACATTTGCCTTGTTTAGGGGGGGTTGGCTGCAAGTTGTTATTGGTAATGGTCAGGAAAAAAGCTGAACAAAGGAGATTAGATTCAAGGTTTTTGCTTTGAAAAGAAAAAAGGAGGGTATAGAAGTAAGAGTGGATTATTGAATCTACTTTTAAATCAAAATAGCAACTCTATTTTGAAATATTTTTACATTGACTTGGATTTTTGTGTACTGGTACAAAATTGAGGTTATTTTTGTTCTACTGTATATGTGTTATAGAAATTATAAGATAAAAAAGCAGGTTATTGAATCTACTTTTAAATCAAAAAAGCAACTTATAGTTTTAAATATTTTACATTGATATGAATTTTTGTACATTTATACAAATGTAAGATTATTTTTTAGAGCATACTATACATACATTTCTACTCTTGTTCAAGTTATTGTATCTATACAGCTCATTTAATGATATGTTGTAAATTTCTAGACCTTGAAATTTATTATTACAAACTATTTAAGATAATAAAAAATGCAGATTATTACATTATTACAATCGAACTTGTTATATTAAGTATGTTTTAAGGTCAAATAGGCATATATATATATATGTATATATATATATATATTAGATAGACAGTCTTCAAACACTTTAGAGTTTCACAGAATATGGCATTTAAGACGTTTTATTAACATGTTTCTTTTTTATGACAATGAGGCATGTCTGCTTCTGACAGCACCTCTACTTCAGAGAAGATGGTGGGCATCAAAGAAACTCTTCATGGAATTTACTGTCTTTATGGCAAAAGTTAGCCACTGGGCAAGAAACTGCCCTTGCCTCGACGGCTGACAGAGTGCTGTCCAAATTAGACAAGCAGGACACAAAAGAGAGTGACTGTCAAACCTTGCCAAGACAAGGCAGGACAGCCCTCCAGAATACCCTGCTTCACAGGAAAGCCTGTCAGATGTTCTAGGCCTGGGGCATCCATCTTCAGTCTATTTCTGTCATTTCTCACATTTTTGGAAGTTGCTTGCTTGCATTTCCTGCTTACTCAGATAATATTATTTCCTTCTCGGGTCTTTGATATAGGACAGATAATGGAGTATTTTCTCTGAATTTGTCAAATGCAAATGGACTAGACATTGTTAATGTAATCATTGCCTGTATATAGTTGTATATAGTTATTGTACTTATTGTATATATAGTTTTTCTAGTTTTTCTTTGTTAATTATAATCTTTGCTTTTTATTTACACAAAAAGGGGAGAATATTGTGTTATATTTTGTTTGTGTTCTGACTAATAAAGCTTGCCTGGAGATCAGAGGATGCAGCTAGCCACTAGTTAACCATAGAGGTCTGGATGTCTGTATAGAGAGGAGACAGGAAGAGACAAGGCAGGGCATAGCCATTTTGTTCTGAGAATTCAGAGAGGTGACTTATGTCTGCCCAGCTTCTTTGATCTTTCAGCTTTTAGCTTGATTTCTGACTGAGTTTTCATTGTTACGACCAATTAGGATCATGCTGCAGTGGTCATGGTGTCTCTTCCCAGCGATAGAAACCCTAAGACAGTAGCTGTCCAGTTCCTTACCGGCAGACACTTGGCTCCCCCAATGGAGATCAACCCAGCTGTGAGGCCCAGCACCATGGCCACCCAAGGAGAAGTAATCAGGACACATGGGGCACCCACAGCCACGCCTCCTGCCAGTACTGCATTGTGGAGATGAACCTGTAAAGAAACAGCTTGTAGGTGGATGAAGTAAGGCTCAGGAAGGGCACGCTCCTGCCCACAGCCTTTCAGCACATTGGCCACGAGCAGTCTCCGAATGGCCTTCCCAGCTCACAGGTCCTTCCTGTCCGTTGGCACCAGGTGACATTCATCCATGGGTTCCCTCAAGCTCAGGGAGTGGCCAGCCCTTCTGACTAGGCATCCTGGCCACCCTTTACTAACACGCCCTTGAGCACTTAATAGAGCTTGAGCTGTAATCCCAACACTCATGAGACTGGGACAGGACTATCCTGAGTTCAAGGCCAGTCCTGTCTTTTTTTCTTTTTTTAACTTTAAGAAAGGTGTATTTATTTTTATATTTCTGTATGAGTGTTTTACTGCATATTTGTCTGTGTAGTATATGCATGTCTGGTGCCTGTGGAGGCCAGAAGAGGGTATAAAATCCTCTGGTAAAGGAGCCAGTGTTCCTAACTGCTGTGCCATCCATCTCCAGCCCCCAAGAACCTGTCCGCCCCCCCCCAGGCTGTCCTGTAACTCACACTGTAAACCAGGCTGGCCTCGAACTCAGAGATCCACCTGCCTCTGTCTCTGCAGTGCTGGAGTTAAAGGTGTGTGCCACCACCTCCAGCTCTTACTCTTTAAGTGTATGTGCTGGGGAAGGGAATTGTGCCTGTGGGTGCAGTACCTGCAGAGACCGGAAGAGGGCACTAGAAGGCCTAGAGCTGGAGTTTTAGGCACTTGTGAGCCACCCAGGTCCTCCCTAAGAACAGTACATGCTCTTGACCACGGAGCCATCTCTTCTGCCCTAGAGGTTCTCTTGTTTTGTTTTCATTTACTTAGTGTAGGTGTTGAGTGTGAACATGCACTCACTCTTAGGAGGCACCGAGTCAGTCAGACCTTAGGCCAGGGTCTGGCACAGATCTCAGAAGCCACTATCACGTGATCATTAATGCATGCTCTTTGCCGCTTAGGCCCCTGTATGACCACACTCGGCTACCATATGCTGTCCCTGGCTCCTGGGTCAGACATCCCCTCTGCCCTCCCTCCCACTAAACCCAAAGAAACCTCCCTTCTCTGACCCCTCAATTCCAGGCCTTAGAGCTCTGGGCTTTCACCTGACCGCACCTGCCTCTTTGTCTCCCTAAGCAACTCTGCCTTATCTACTCCCGGGACTTCCTGTCACCACCTAGTTCCCTTGTGCACATGCCAACCTCCCCTAGGGATTAAATTGTGCTGAGAGCCCCAAACCCACCCCACTCCACCCTACCCCATCTGTCAGCTCTTCCTGGTACCTCTGGCTGACTGACCTGGCTTTTGTCTTTCTCTCACCCAACCCTCTCCAAAAATGCCCCCGTTGCATCAGTACCAGCACATAAGTACTGTTCAAATATTACCTATCTTTTCTTCCTTTTCTGTTCTTTTAAGCAGAGTCTTATATAGTCCAGGATGGCCTCAAACTATGATATACAGGCTAAGCAGGGGTGGTGCAGGCCTTTAATCTCAGTGTTCGGGAGGTAGAGGCAGGTGGATCTCTGTGAGTTCGAGGCCAGGCCAGTCTGGTCTACAGAACGAGTTCCAGGACAGCTAGGGCTGTTTCACAGAAAAAAATACCTCTAAAAACAAAACAAAACCCCTCGATATGTAGCCAAGGATAGCTTTGAACTCATGTTCCCTCCATTTCTACCCCTTGAGTCCTGGGATCACAGCCAGGTACTAACGACCATGCTCAGTACTGGGGTTTGAATTCAAAGCCTCAGGCATACCTCAGGCAAGCACTCTACCAACTGAGCTATGTCCCCAGACCCTGAATTCTCTCTCTCTCTAAAAAGATGTACTTATTTTATGTACATGAGTGTTTTACCTGCCTACATGTATATATGTGTTCCACATGTGTGCCTGGTGCCCCAGGAGGTCAGAAGAGAGTGATGGATTCCCTGGAATTGGAATTCTGGATGGTTGTGAGCCCACACGTGGGTGCTTGGACCTGAACCTGGATCCTCTGCAAGAACAAGTGCTCTTAAAGGCTGGGCCATCTCTGCAGCCTTCCTGCATTGTCTTTTAATTCCCACTGGGCAGACACAGCCATCAAGCCTCAAAGCCCTGTTTTGGCCTGAACTAACTAGTGGGGCTTTAAAAGAACAAAACAGAAACTTCTTTTTTCCTTTTTTTTTTTTTTTTTTTTTTTTTTTTTTTTTTTTTAAGGATGGGCTTTTTCTGTATAGGCCAACTATCCTGGAACTCGATTTGTAGACCAGGCTGGCCTCAAACTCACAAAGAGCTGCCTGCCTCTGTTTCCAACATGCTGGTATTAGAGGCGTGCGCCACCACTGACATCTGACAAAATTCCTTGAAGGAAGAAGAAAGGTTGGCTAATTATATTCCAGTTTGTTCTGCTGACTCTTGCCTGTGGTTTGTTGGCTTCAACAACTAGTGGAAACAGGGTCTACATTTGGGTCTGTGCGATAGTAACATTGATTTAAACACACACATGTGACTATACACACACACCAGCCCCCAGACAGCCTGTCCAGTCTCCAGTACCTGGCAGATGAGGAAGGGCCCATCACAGGAGTGCCCCCACCCCCAGCCCCAGCCTGGCCCTGGGGGAGAGCTGTCAACATGTGCATTAGGCACAGACACACACATGCCGCCCCAGAGGTAGCCTCCTCCTCACCATGTTGATCTTTCCCTGGGGGTGGCTCAGGGCTGACGCGGAGGTGGCTGTCACTGCACTGACCGCAAGGGCATAGTAGGTGTTGAGCACAGCCTTCTTGTCATTTGACCCTTCCACCAGAGCAGAGTTGAAACTTGGCCAGAATATCCACAAGAAGAGGGTTCCTGGAGGGCAGAGAAGGCTGTTAGCCAGGCTCACGCTCCTTTTCTGAAACCACCGTCTTCCAGGATAGCAGAGAACAGCCTGAAGCTAGCAAGTGAGCCTGGTCACCTTCCAGGGCTGACTAAGCAGTCACCTGAAGATGGAGTTCTGTCCCATCTGGCCCACAGCTGTTTGGTCCCAAAAAAACACACAGAGGCTATATTAATTATAAACTGGCCAATGGCCCAGGCTTCTGATTTCACTAGCTCTCTCTTAATTATTAATTAACCTATTTCTATTAAATTATGTATATTCGCTTGTCTTGGCTTACCAGTGATGTCCAGCCCTCTTGCTTCCTCGGCAGATACATGGCAATCTCTCTCTCTCTCTCTCTCTCTCTCTCTCTCTCTCTGGAGACTCTCTTTCCAGCATTCTCCTAGTCTGGTAGCCCTGCCCATACCTCCTGCCTGGCTACTGGCTAATCAGCATTTATTCACCAACCAATAAGAGAAACATGTATCCATAGCATATAAAAGGACATCCCCCATTAGTCACCTCTCCTCTCTAAAGTCTCAGGTTGGTGGGAGACAGACAACACATTTTATGACAAGGAATATAAGACCCAGAGCGTTGCGATCTACAAATGCCAGGCCTCACTCCATTCTTCAGCAATCAAATGCTTCCTTTTAAAATGCAAGGCAGAGGCTGCAGAGATGGCTCAGTGGTTAAGAGCACTGGCTGTTCTTCCAGAGGACCTGGGTTTTCTTCCGGGCACCCATAGTGGCTCACAGCCATCTGTAACCCAGTTCTAGGGGATCCAAAAGGCATACATATGTATGCATACATGCATAAAGGCAAAACAGTTATACACAAATCTAAAAAAAAAAAAAAGTTCCTTTTGAGACAGGGTTTCTCTGTGTACTCCTGGCTGTCCTGGAACTCACTCTGTAGACCAGGTTGACTTCGAACTCGCAGAGATCTGCCTGCCTCTGCCTCCTGAATGCTGGGATTAAAGGCATGCACCACCATTGCCTGGCCTATTCTCTATATTTTTAAAAAGTATAACATTTAAAAAAACATTAATTTGCATGAGTGTTTTCTCTTCATGTATGTGTACACTTGCAAGCCTGATACCTGCAGAGGCCAGAAGAGGGAGTAGGAGCATCCGAACCAGTGTTAAAGGAGGTGGTGAGCCACCATGTGGGTGCAGGGTCCCTGCAAGAACCATCAGTGCCATAACCACTGAGCCACCTCTCCAGATCCTCTCTTTGTTTTCTTAGCTTAATTCTTGCTTTTACTCACAGTGTTTACTTGCCCATAGGCTTCCTTTCTGTTAGAGGAAAAAATGTTGTATAAACTCATTTACAGTCTAATGTAGGGGCTGGAGAAATGGCTCAGTGGTTAAGAGCACTGATTACTCTTCCAGAGGACCTGGGTTCAGTTCCCAGCAACCACATGGCAGCTAACAACTGTTTGCAATTCCAGTTTCAAGAGACCAGATACCCATGGTAAAACGCTAGCACAAATAAATAAATAAATAAATAAATAAATAAATAAATAAATAGTCAATGGAATGAGCTTCTCTGAACTTTCAATCCTCCTGCCTCTGCTTTCCAAGGGCTGCAGTCCACACCAAAGTCTCCACTGAATATTATTGAAGAGAGGTCCCTAAAAGGAAAAGTTTAATCCAAAGCTACATAAACTCATATATAAACTCTATGATGTTGGCATATAATAAATAGGGTGTGTATATAATAACATGGTTCATATATGTAACAACAATATAATGTATATGTAATAACATTATGTGTTATAATATAAACTATATATAAAGCTACATAAACTCAACAACTTTACTAGAAACAAAGGGCCTTGTTGGGCAGTGGTGGTGCATGCTTTTAGTCCTGGCACTTAGGAGGCAGAGGCAGGCAGTTCTCTGTGAGTTCGAGGTTAGCCTGGTCTACAGAGAAAATTGCAGGAGCCTCTAAACCTACAGAGAAACTCTATCTTAAAAAACCAAACCAACCAAACAAACAAACAAAAGGACCTTTATGGAAGGGACCAGTATACTCAGGGTCAAAGGCCAAGGACAGACTTCTCAGGAGGACTTGTTCTCAACTCTGTTCAGACAGGACACCGCCCAGCTCTTTTGTCCTTACCCAGCATGGCAAACAGACTGGAGCTTGTGGCCATCTGAACCTTCTCTGTCTGGGCTTTCTCACCCAGTTCCCCGGGTAGAGACCTAGAGAGGCACCAGGCCACAAGCAGCCCAAAATAGGCCCCAAACACGTATCCGTACATGGTAATTATGTGGTCTTTCACCTGCAACAGAACACAGAGGCTTGGTGAGTGTTCCAGGCCTGTGTAAAGAGGTCAGCCTCACTGCACTTCCTGTGGGAGGTATGGCTTGAACTCTGACTCGGTGTTCAGAGCTTACCCAGGCCAGCCAGTGGCCTCCCCTTGGAGAAGCCCATGGGCAGCTAGACCTGGGGGGACAGAGTGATGATGGGTGACACAGTCTCTCTTGTAATCCACTACAGCCAGGTTCATGCTAATCATGCCTCATGCATAGCAAATTTAATAAGCCCTAGACCTCATTCTTAATGGATTTAGAGTAAAGGTTGTCTTCAGGGTCTCCCAAAAACACTCGGAATTGATCACTTAACGCCTCTTCCCTTCACATCTCCAGCCCTCTCTCACCTCAAGCCCTCTCTCTCAACAGCTTGGGATGCTGTTTCCCTGGGCTGAGGGCAATGAGCAGGGAGGAAGAAGTGGTCAGCCTTAGGTGGGGAGTAGGGTAAATGTCTGATTTCTATTATCACCAAGGGGCAAGACAAGTAAAGGGTGTGGCAAGAGACACAGGGCCCTCTGGACAGATGCAATCTACCATACACTCTGCTAGGGCTGGCCACTGTTGCCAGACACCCTCCACGGCTGGCCTCACAATTTGCCAGGCGATGCTTTCCTACCTCTCTCTCTCTGTCTGGTATCAGAGCCATCTCTCCAGTCCCCCAATACCCTACTTTTTATGTGGGATCCAGGAATTAAACTCAGGTCATCAGGCTTGGTGATTTTCTTTCTTTTTCTGTTTGCTGTGTACTCAGGGAACCCTGGGTTGACCAGAGTACTGCCTGAGTGCATTCTGCCAGGTGACAGGGGCAGGCCAGCATAATGCCTGAATCTTTACACAAACTAAGGACAGGAAAGAAAGAGGGTGGATTTGGATGACTACAAGCCAGATGCAGAGCGAGCAGAAGAACCTGACATGGTAATAAACGTACTGTCGTGTGGCAGAGGGTAGATAAGAAATATGGGTTGGTTTAAAATGTAAGCGCTAGTTAGCAATAAGCCTGAGCTATTGGCCAAGCGTTTATAATTAATATTAGGTCTCTGAGTAGGTTACTTGAGGAGCAGCTGCCGGGACTGAAAAACTTCTGCCTACACCTTCTCAGTTCTGGGATTACAGGTGTGTGCCACATCTGGCCTTCCCCTGTCTTGATGACTTCATTTTAGTGTGAGGACTATGTTTTGTTAGTGGTAGCTAGCTGGACCCGAGGCTACCATAACGCATGCTCTGTCCCACCTCTCTTGAACTGAAACTGAGGGAGAAGAGTGTTGCTTACACAGGACCTGGGACCTAGCAACAAAGGAAAGAGTGGGACAAACTCTATTCTTCAGTGAAGAGAAAGTTACCGTTCTGGGAGGAATGTGCCCAAATGATGCATGCCCCTTGGTCATCGAAGGGTTCTCCTGTCCCTTTCCTGTCAACTTTGGAGTCTAGCTGCACTTTCTGGACTTGGAGATCCTACTAAAGTCCTATCATTTCGCCTAATAAGCCATCAGTGACTCCGCTGGTGCAGGCTGAGCAAGGCTGGACCCAAGCTGCCTGGACACGACTCTGAAGGGCGCCCCTTCCTTCCACAGCTTTGGCTCCCTGTTCTGCTCTTGGCTCTGCAGACAGCCCCATCTGTCATTGCTCTTGGGCCCTGGGTTCTCCCCCAGCAGCACCACAACACTCTCCTCCTTTTACACATGTCCTAGAGAGGCTGCATGTGGCCTAGGCACTGAACACTGACGCCCCAGGGCCATGAATAGACCTGCCTTTCCAGCCTGCTCTCTATACTCCTGAATGATAGATACATCTCACCGTCTTCCCCACCCTCATCTTGCAACTGACCTGATCTTGCATCCCCCTGAGGACATCCAAGCAAGTTTCCTCCCTCCAGGAGACTGCCTTTGTGGGTGGGCCCCACCACAGAGCTGGCAGACCATCCTGTCTCCACACCCCCACCCCTGCCCACTTTTTCCGCTGTGAAAATACAAACAAACCCTTTACCGCTCTGCTTCAGAGATGTGATGCTTCCAGCTCATCTTTCTGTGTTAACCTGTTTTTTCAGATTATTCTGATATGCCAATATTACCCATCTTTCTTTAATTTTAACATTTTCCCACCTATTTTACATAGCATCACCCATCTTAAGTAAAGTTTCCTGTGCCCTCATTCTGTACCCCAATATCTGCTGCATTTCTCTGCTTTTCCTCAGCCTCCTCTCTCTTGACAAGGTTTTTGTATGAACTTTTTCTGAGGAGACATAAACAGTGAACATGAAATCCGGGGCTTTTCTCCTGATACAGACTGTGTTGCCCATGTGGCCCTCTGCTGTGAAGCTGTGTTGTTTGGAGTAGTTCCTTTTTCTCTCTGGGCATTGGCTTTTTCGTTTTCTGAGATGAGAAAGCCAGCCATGTCATCAGCCAGGGTCATGGCAGTCAGGTTTAGGGGAGAGGAGCTGGGAGAGACATTTGGATGGCACAATTATAGCTGGCTTTAAACCCTGACTTTCAACACTCTCTCCTGATGGGAAAGTTATGCTAGCATCATACTGAACACAATAGCTGCTTTAAAAGAAGTCACTAGGACTGGGCAGAGGTGGCTCATGCCTTTAATTCTAGCACTCTGAGGGTAGAGACAGGTGGATCTCTGGGAGTTTGAGGCCAGCCTGGTCTATAAGAGTGGGTTCTAGGAGAGCCAGAGCTGTTATACAGATAAACCCTTTCTCAAACAAATAAAAAAAAAATTAGGACATTCAGCATGAATTCACTGACCACTGCCATGGTGGCCCTGTGCTCTGGCTAGCCTTGGTTGTTAACTTGACTACATCTGGAATGAACTAAAATCCAAGAGGCTGGGTACTCCCGTGAGTAATTTTTCTGTTTCTTTTCTTTTTATTTAGCCAGCATTTCTCTATGAAACAGTTCTGGCTGTCCTGGAACTCACTCTGTAGACCACGCTGGCCTCAAATTCATGGAGATGCACCTGCCTCTGTTTCCCAAGTGCTGGGATTAAAGGCGTGAGCCACCACTGCCCAGCAAGCAATTTTTCTTGACTGAACCATTTGAAGCAGAAAGACCCACTCTATGTCCCAATCTTCTGAAGTGTGAAAATCCAACTTAAATCCTTCCAGTGGCAGACTCTACAAGGGACATGGAAGAAGGAAGCGCTTGCTCTTTGCCTGTTTGCTCTCACTCTGCTGGTAAGTCCTTCTCTTCACTGGCATTACAGCCTACTTCTTTAGGATTCCAATGCATACTGAAGACCAGCTGAAACATCCAGCCTCACGCACTGAAAAACCACTAGATTCTTGGGTTTCCTATCAGGAGACAGTCATTGTTGGAATAGTCCGACTACAGCCTGTAAGCCAGTCTAATAAATACAGGGTGTGTGTGTGTGTGTGTGTGTGTGTGTGTGTGTGTGTGTGTGTGTGTGTGTGTGTTCAGCTTTGTCTCTCTAGAAGACCCTGGCTAATACACTCTGGGAATTCATCTTACCTATGTATACCACAATAATCTTGTGACACTCAAGGCTGTGTGTAACATTCAGTGGCATCTACTCACTTTCAGCTCCACTGGGAGCCTATCTTTACTTTTAAAACCCCATCAACAAGGACCAGTGTCCCACCTCCCTACCTCCAAAGTCCCCTCACAACCCTGGGACTCACATAGAAGTTCTCCTGGCTGACAAGCCTGGTGACTCCAAAGGCCACTGTCTCCATCAGCGCCATCACAGCCAGCTGCACCAAGTTGGCCTTCCCAAGGACAGCAACTGCTGAGATGAGCACAGGAACTGTGCTCAGGGTCCCTTTCTGGATGCTGGGGGGAGGGATGACGGAAGGAGGAGAGAGAGACCCTGTGAGGAAGAGTACCTCTCATTCGTCAGGGTCCCTCATAGAATGGGGACTCCTGCCCTGCTCTCACCAGGGCCACACCTGTGGTCTGAGATTTCTTTGCATATACCCATGGTACAGGGAGGCCCAGAGGCTCAGAGCCTCTACTACAATGTCACTGTGACTCAAAGTGGCCCAGGGATGAATCCCACCCCAAACCTCACACTTCTTCTCTGCTGTCACCTCTCTCCTGGAGGTGGAGCCTGGGTTTGGCAGTTTGGAAGTAGAATAAACCTGGTTTCCCATCCCAGCTCTACAACCCAAGCAGCAACGTAATCCCACAAAGCATGGGATTAAGAATGATTGTATTTGTTTTCCTGCACTGGGGCAGGGGTTAGAAGGAAGTCTTTGTATGGGTGTATCTATCTGTGGCAAAGACTGGTAGGCACCGGAGGGGATTCATGACTAGAGACTGGCATCATGAAAACTGTCAAATCCTTCCTCCCCTGGTCAAATGTGCAGGCTCAGTGTGGGGATTCGGGCAGAGAAAACCATTTTATGTTTTTGGTTTTTGAGACAAGGTTTCCCAGTAGCTATGGAGCCAGTCCTGGAACTCACTTTGCAGTCTAGGATAGCCTTGAACCCACAGAGATCCGCCTGCCTCTGCCTCCCGAGTACTGGGTTTAAAGGCCTGTGCCACCACTGCCCAGTAAATAAAAGTCTACTCATGGGACCTGGTATGTGGCTCAGTTGGCACAAAGCCCCGAGTCTGATCCCCAGCACCCCATACATCAAGCGCGGTAGTGCACAGCACTCAGAAGGTTGAGGCAGGAGGGCCAGAAGTTCAAGTAGTCTCAAGTAAATTTGAGACCTGTCCATGTTACATGAGTCTGAGTAGCAGAAAAAAAATCACCAATGTTTGGGGCTTGGGCCTCAGTCGCAGAGCGCTTGTCTAGCGTTCGCAAGGTCCTGGTTTGATCCCCAACACCGGGTGTTTGGGGTGTGGACATCACTCATTGAAGGGCCCTTTTGTTTTCATTTTTATCCCAGTGAGCATTTTCCAAGTTCTTCGTGTGTAAGGGTTCCGCAGGCCTCCACCTACAAGGACTCATTTGGAACCCGTTTGGTATCAAGTCAAGTAGCCCATGTTTGAGTCAGGCCACCTGGAGAGGGTCTCTGTCCCTAATTCAGGGAGCAGGCAGGCAAAGCCTACTAGTCCAGCCTGGCCTGACAGGCAGGTGGGTGCCACTGTCCCACTCTGCAAAGCCAGTGTCAGCTCAGTCTCAGCTGGGAGGATCCAAATGACTTTTGGTAGGATGGCAGCCGGGTAGCAGGGAGGGACATCAGGTCCCTGTGGACCTCACAGGGAGCAGTCCTGAAATGCCCCTGTTCCAATTTGTTTGTGTGCCAAAGGCTAATGTCTGTGTGACCTTAAACCAAGATAGTAGAAGCCCCAGCCCATGGCTGCCACTGTGAGAACCCCCAAAGTGCCCTTTGACACACGGGGGGTGTACACAATCCCCACAGGCAGGAGCTCTAAGCCTTTAAGAGTTATTTTTAAAGATGGGCTGTCTCTCAGCCCAGGCTGGCCTCAGACTCACTATGTAGCTGAGGGTGACCTTGAACTCCCGATCTTCCTGCTTCTAGCCTCCACTTCCAAAGCACTGGGATTACAGAGCATGCAATAGTGCACAGCTTTTTGCAGTGTTGGGAATAGAACCCAGGGCTTTATGCACGTTAGGTAAGCACTCTGTTAACTCAACTGCACTCCCTCAGTCCTCTAAAATATTTGAAAAGGAGTGAACCATCTCACATCATGACTGCTTTCCAGTATGAGGAGACTGGAAGGAAGTTAAAATCCTATAACCCCAGCTGCATGACCCAGCCACATGTCTTACCCTCTCTGAGCCTTTATTTCCTAACCTGTATATGAGCGTGGACCTCGATCCAGCCAACAAAAAACATGCTCAAGGAAAATGTCACCTAGTTCATTCTATCAACTATTTCGTGCCCCTTTAAAGTAGTGTAGAGTCCCACATGAATTGTCTGTCTGTCTGTCTACCATCTATCTGGGATGGCTAGTTTAGAATCACCTTGTAGGAGGGAACCCTCAATTGGGGAATTGTCTACATCAGATCGGCCTGAGGGGCATTTTCTTAATTGCTAGTTGATGTGGGAAGGCCCACCTCTGAGTGTGGGCAGCCCTGCTGCTGTTAACCCAGACAAAAAGGGGCACCCCAGGAGGAGGCTCATTTGCCTCTTGCCCGCCCAGCCTTCCCTCCTGCCACAGAAGAGATCTACCCTGCTGCTATTCCTTTGCTCACAGAAGAACCAGAATTTCCAGACTTCCACTGTGGACCAGCCGCTCTCCAGGACTGAGCAAGGACCGGGTTGTCCACTGCTGGCATGTGACAGCCACTATAGAACTACATCAACTGCTAGGGCACTCAGTCTGCAGGATCAAGTAACTACCATCTTCTCTACCTCTCAGTGCAAGACACCTGTTATTGTTACTGCTATTATTGTTGTTGTCGTTTTAAAGACAGGGTTTCTCTCTGTAGCCCTGGCTGTCCTGGAACTCACTCTGTAGACCAGGCTGGCCTCGAACCAAGAGATCATCTGCCTCTGCCTCCCTAGTGCTGCATTAAAGGTGTGTGACACTACCTCCCAGCTGTTAGTATTATTTTAATGTAAGCTAATTCAATAAATTCTTATATAAATGTACATGCGTGTATACACACACACATATTCATCCTATTGGCTCTGTTCCTCTAGAGAACCCTAATCTGCATCCATCAATCATCTATTAATCATCTCATCTTTATTAATCATCTATCACTTATCAATCTGATTTTCCCCTATATAAACATCATCCCAGTTAACATAGAGAATGTATACAGGCTAGCTTTGCCAGTTTGTACCATCTCATTTAAATATGTCTACATGGATTGATGTTAGTTTAAATGAAAGTATGATTATTACCTGTCTACTGGCATCTCAGAACTGAGTCTTGTTCCCTTCCTTCCTTCCTTCCTTCCTCCTCCCTCTCCAAGTCTTCCTGGTCTCCCCCTCCTCTTTCTCCTCTCTCCCTCTGCCTCTTCTCTTTTTGGTTTCTCCTTGCAGGCTGGGCATGGAACCCAAGGCTGTCACACATGCCAGGCAACTGAGTCACCCACACAGCCACACTGCCAGTCCACCCCTGTTTTTCTTTAAGATACTGGGAGACAGCTCTGTTCTGTGTTTTGTTGTATGTCTACTCCTTTTCTTACTTTTTCTACTAACTTGTGTTCATTGCATGACTTTATACACTCATACTCGTTAATAACAAAACAGGGAGAATCCGGGGAAGGCTACAAAGCTCCAGATGCCTGGGATGCCCAGCAGGGCCCAATTAAATCAGATTGTTGTATACACAATGAAAATCTTCTAGAGAAACTGTGTCCTAAGTATTTTGTCATGTCAGAGCTAGAAAGAGAGATGCCCTGATCTTCTAGAACTTCCTCTCTCTGCATTCTAAGCACCCAAAACAACCCAGCTGCTTTCAGTTACCTCAACAGATTGATGGGTACGTGCTGTGCGAAGAAGGTCTGTCTCAGGAAACAGTACAGCAAGATTGATCCCTGCACTCCAAGGGCCAACATGAAGAGGTTGAAGGTCACACTGCTCCAGCTGTGTCTCCGAAAGGACGAGGAAAGGAAGCCAAAACCCAAGGCTGCCATAAGGGTCAAATCCTGGATGACTGTGATAAGAGAAAGAGGAGTGGGCGAAGACAAGGGGGAATGAGTGAGACTTGGGCAAAATGGCCACTGGAAGAGACATCTGAGGCCAAATTGCCTCTCTTCTTTGGGCCTCAACTTTCTCATCTGAGTAATGGGGCCATGACTACTGGGCACACAGGGCTAAGGTAGGGGTAGATGAGAGAAAGCTGGTAAAATGCTTCAGGCAGATGGGAAAGCACAGGGAATGGGCAATGTTTATGAGGGATAAACACTCTGATGTGAGCTGGGTGTCAGTGGCTCATGCCTTTAATCCCAGCACTCAGGAGGCAGAGGCAGGTGGATCTCTGTGAGTTTGAAGCCAGCCTGGTCTACAGAGCAAGTTCCAGGGCAGCCTCCAAAGCAATACAGAAACCCTGTCTTGAAAAAACAAAATAAAACAAACAAACAAACAGAAACACTCTGATGTGGATAAACGCAGTGTCAGGGCATCTGCTTGGCCCATCATTGGCATTCAGTGAAGGTATGTGCTCTGGGATTGTGGGCAGGCTTCCACCCTGGTTGTACACACAGCCTCAGCAGCTAAGCAGTACAGGTAAGACAGAAAAGAGAAGACAGGGTAGCCTCAGAATTCCTGTCCCACAAGCTAACTCAGCTTCCTAAGAAGCAGGTAGTGCAGGTAAGATAGGTCAGTAGAAAAAGGTACTTGTCCCACAAGCCTGGGGACCTGACTATGATCTGAATCCATAGTGGAAGAGTACATGAACTCTTGATGGCTGACCTCTGACCGCCACACGGGCACATGCACAAACTTTTCACACAGGCTCATCCACACATACAAGTAATGGAAGTTTTTTGTTTTTATTTTTGTTTAGTTGTTACTGTTTTGTGTAGCTCTGGCTGTCCTGGAACTCACGCTGTAGACCAGGCTGATCTCAAACTCACAGAGATCTGCCGGAGAGTGATGGTGCACACACCTTTGATCCCAGTACTCAGGAGGCAGAGGTAGGCACATCTTTGTGAGTTCAAGGCCAGCCTGATCTACAGAGTGAGTTCTAGGACAGAGAATCCCTGTCTCAAAAAGCAAAAACTCAGAGATCCACCCGACTCTGCCTCCCTGTTGCTAGGATTATAGGCACGAGCCACCACTGCCCATGATGAAAGTTAAAAATAATAAATAAAAGGAGAGAGTTGGCTCTTTCCCAGTTCTCGTCAGGAACCTGGTAGGCCAGTAGAAAATGCCTTCCCTACCTCGGGGCCCGAGCAGGAGTTGCCAAGACAGGTGAAGGCAAAAGTCACCCCTGAGGTCCCAGCCAGCGGATGAGGGGCATACTTTAATGTGATTCTGGTTTTGAAAAATAATTAGCAAGTATATTGCAGAAGGTTTGGTGAGACTGGTTACACTCTAGCCGTGTGGTCTGATCTAGAACTCAGCCTCTCTGAGCTTTAGAAGAACCCATGCTAAATGTGTGCTAACATCCAGTGACACCGACATTGACGAGCAACTTGATTGAACTGAGAGATGCCCAGGAGATCAGCCAAATGTCTCTGCACAGTTAACAATGTCTTGGCTCCGGGCCCCTCCCTGATGCTCATCTCAGTTTCCTGGCTGCAGTAAGGCGAGCATCCCTTCTCCAGTGTGCCTCCCCCTTGATGTTCTGTCTCACCACTGCCCAGAAACAACGGAAGTCAGCTGCCCACAAACTCAAAGGTGATCTTTCCCCCTTTAAACTGTTCCCTTCAGGTCTTAGCCATGGCAATGAAAAAGTCCAACCGAAGTGGATTGCTTCACGTAAACTGTTTCCTGTCCTCCTTACACCTGTCCTGTGGGTGGGTGTTCATGAATGTGAACCCACCACAAGGTGGACCTAAGCAGTGTGGAGAGTGGCGTCTCACCACAGACCATTGGTTGGAGGCATCCACCAGCATCCATCTACACCTCCCTCTTCCGGTTCCCGTCCGTACAATGGGAACAATTTCATCTCCTCATCCGAAAATGGAATGGTGCATGGAAAGGCTGCTTTACCAGCAGACACCGACCATTTTCCACACGGGTGATGCCTGCACAGGGTTTCCCCCACCTGGACAGCTGTGTGAGGTTTGTTAGCAGACACTCATAACTCACTGTCTTGCTATCTCCTTTTCATCATGCCAACAGTTTAAAGTCATCATAAGAGCATACTCATTTCCCCACCACCATAAGACAGCTCACACCTGTTTATTATTTTAAAGTGTTTTGCAAGTTGTGGTGGTGCAGACTGGTAGCTGATGAGCCAGAGGCAGGAGGATCAGAAGTTTAAAGCCTGTCTGGGATACACCTGGGGCTGGAGAAATGGCTTAGTGGTTAAGAGCATTTTCTGCTCTTGTGGAAGATCCAGGTTCAGTCTCCAGCATCCACATGGTGGCTTGTAGCCACCTGTGACTGCAGTTTCAGGGGATCTGATGTCTTTTGGCCTCTGCAGGTACTAAGCATGTGCATGACACACAGACATACTTGTAGGAAAACACACATACAAAATCTTAGAAGTACATTAGGACCCTCCCACATTATCACCAGAAACTATTCCAAACCACTCGGAGGCCTTGGTATATTAGTAAGGAGGGAGACAGATTGAGGGCAAAAAGTCATTAGATAGGGTTCACTTGTCCCTCTGCTTCTAATTATGTGTCCACTGCCACAAGCCTCTGTGGTGGGCTGGCTCAGAATTCCGAAGGCCCTGGATGGCAGTGTGTGTTTGTCTTTACCTCTGACCTCATGCACAGTCTTTAAAATGCCACCCAGGACAGTCACAAAGATCAGAGAGGCCCTAGTGGCCACACCTAAGCTTCTTCCTAAAGAATGTCCTTTGCCATAGCTGTCTCGTCCCTCTTGCAGTGGGTCAGGCCTTTCTGTCTTCAGGTGTGGAAACCACCGCACCTGATGGTCGTTACTGGATAACCTCAGTATAAATGGTGTGCATAACAGGCCATTCCAGAGCCCTGTGGCATGACAAACTGCTCAATTGCACTGTCCGCAGTTTCTTTCCCAAATCCTAGCCGGTGGAAGTCCAAAGAATGGAATTTCTGGTGAGACATATTTTCCCACCTTTTGTGCCCAATGAGAAGTTTCCAAACCATCTCTGAGGGGATTCTGGCCAATGTGATGGGGAGGGCACTGTTGAAGCTATTTCTGTCCAGGGCCTGGCATGTGAAGAGAGCTATTTACCAATCAACCACCACAGGAGGAAATCCTCTGCCCCAGGTCTCAGTCCTGGTTCTGCATACAAGGTGAACACTCTCACTATCACAAAATTTCTTTGGCATCAGAGGCCAGTGAAACTCACTTCCATTGGAGAAGCTTCCCCCTCTTTGCCCCCGCCCCCTGCCACTGTCTGGCATAGGCCTTCGATGGGTGATGACATTCCTGGGATGCAGGAAGTGGCCAAGGATCAAGGTCTGCCTTAGGATCTGGTGCCTGAAATGTTAGTATTCTTGACACTGCAGCATCTCCCCGGATGTGGTAGGAAAGATGGGGTGGTGCGGCTCCTTCTCCCCTGTCCATCTTCTTGGCAATACTACAGGGTGAGGTGAGGAACAAGGCATCCTTGGCCCATGCATCTTGGGATGGTTCATACTTCTCAGGAGCCAAGTAGGAATGTGTGTATGAAGGTAGGGTGCACATTTGGGAAGGAGAACTGTGGCCAACTGAAAACCACACTCCCCCTGGAAATACTACAATTCGGCCTCTCTTTGCACACTGCTCTTAAACACAATCTGTCTGTCACTTTGCAGCATGCTGTATGCACAGGAGGTAGAGCCACTGCAGGATGGGAGGGGCTCCTGAGAGTGTGCTTTCTCAGGGCCATACCTGTAGTAAACAAACTCAGCTCTGAAATGGTACAGAATGCCTTCCCGCCAAGGAGGCTGTCTGCTCTGGGTTTCACCTCATCATGCTTAAAGGGTCTCAGCAAGTCTTTTGCTCTATCTGAGCCTCAGTTTCCTTCTTTGGAAACCATAAGATTGGGCTTAATAGTCTCTGTGCCCTTCGGCCCTGGGATGTCTGAAGGTGAGGTTAGGAGAGGAAGAGGGTAGAGTTGAGCCTGAAAGTTAGAAAATGAGGGGATGCAGTAGGGCGAGGCATTTCCTGCCCCAGCTGTCACCAATTCCAGGTGTAGGGACTCGTGGCCTTCCGCCTGAGGCCTCACAGTCCCTGAGGAAGGAACTGATGCCTTAGGCTGAAAGAGTTTCCAGTTTCGCTGTTTCAGGAACCTGTGCAGTCCAGCTCTTTAGCATAACATCTGGCCGTCCCACCCCACCCCCACCCCGCCCTTCTTCCCCTTCCCATTTCCTCTCCAGCATCCTGAGGCTCCAGGCTCAGACTCACTCTTCTCAGGGCTTGCTCCTCCTGCCCCTTCCCACCCCCCACTGCAGAACTGAGTGCCACTCAGAGGCTCTGGGCACCTCTGAGTCAGCTTTGGCCTCTCAGAGCAACTCTGCACCAGGGCTGATAAACCAGTGGACTGCATGCTGTTTGTCATGATAAGGAGCTGAGAGGACTAGGCGGCAGGATGAATTTCACTGCCTGAGGCAGGCCTTCTGGGAGGTGAGACGTTGGAGCACAGCAGAAAGGCCAGAGAGGCAGTCCCCAGCATCCTCATGGCAGGACCCCCTTCTCAGCCTCAGTCTGTGAGAATCACTATTTGTCCTTCCCATTACAGATGTAGGGAGAGGCACAGAAGGCTGCTGTGACTAGTACAGGCCACACAGCTGGTAAATGGGGACGAAGAGATTTGAACTCCACACCCTCTTGCCTCGTCCTACTTGTGCAGTGTGACCTCTGAGTTTGCACATCAGGGCTAAGACCTGGTTCTCTCTGTGTGCCTCAGCTTCCTAATCTGTAAAATGGATAGTGGCACCTACTCACTGGCTCCTGCAAGGTTTGGCGCTATGACGGAAGCACCCCTACAGCCATACATGACATGTATTACTTTGCGTGACGATTCCCTCTTTGTACCTACGTATTTGGATAACTTCAGGTCAGCCCTTGAATTTGTCTACCCAGACCTCTTCTCCTTCCCACTTCTGGTCTTGCCCACCCACCCTTGCCCCTCCTAACAGCATGAGGGAACAAGACTGGGGGAGGGACTCTACAGCTTTGGCGTCCATAGCACTCTGTGCCATGTCCTTGCCCAGATTCTCTCCCATCCCCCGGTCACCGCAGCAGGCTGGGAAGAAAAATGGAGATTCCCTGAGGTGGAGGATGTGGAGTACTCACTCACCGCTGGGAACCCCCTCATGTTTACCCATAGCCCCTTTCATAGCAATGAGTAGTTTACAAAGCAGAAGGCCCTAGAGATCGCTCCCCAGTTTGACAGCCCTAGGTTGGGCTGTCTGTGGTTCCACTAATGGCCCCAGTGAAGCATGCCTCTGGAGGTAGGCTGCTTCTACATGAGTTTGACCTTGTCATTAGCTCTACAGAATGGGTTGTCAGTAGACATTTTACCAACGCCTCCCTTCTATTCTCATTTGCTGCTGGAACGCCTCTGCTGCAATGTGAAGTCTGGGCTGACCTGATGATCCCAACTGGCACTATCTGCCAGCCACGGGAAATGAGGCCAGGTGGAACCATCTTGCCCCAGTAAAATTTCTAGGTTTTGAATAAATGAGTGACCCTAAATGAAAACCGCCAGCTGGACCATACCCACTTACTGAGCCACAGAATCACGGTGGTGGGTAAGTGACATGGTTGCTGTTTTAAGACACTAAAGTTAGGGATGGTTGCTACACAGCTATAGATGACTGATAGATTCTGCTTCCCTTAAACATTTCACATATATCTCAACCTCTGGCCCAGGATGAACGTATCATTGTGTATTTACACCACATCTGTATTTGTATTTTATCTTAAGAATTAGCACAGAGTGGCAGTTTGACTGAGCATAGCCTCCACATGCCTGTATGTCTGAATAACTGGTCCTTCACTGATGAATCTGTTTGAGAATGGTTAGGAGGAGTGGCCTTGCTGGAGAAGGTGTGTTACAGGATCAGGCTTTGAGGCTTCAAACACGGCATCCTGCCATCCATCCCGATTGCATTGCCAGCCTCCTGAGAGGTGAGCTCCCACCTGTTCCTACCACCATGCCTTCATCCCACCAATATGGACTCTAACCCTCTGGAACCATAAGCTCAATTAAATGCTTTCTTTTGAAAATTGCCTTCGTCAGCTGGGCAGTGGTGGCTCTTACCTTTAATCCCAGCACTTGGGAGGCAGAAGCAGATGGATCTCTGTGAGTTCCAGGCCAGCCTGGTCTACAGAGTGAGTTCTAGGATACTAAAGGCTACACAGAAACCCTGTCTGGAAAAAGAAAAAAAGAAAAAAAAAAAAAAAAGAAAAAAAGAAGAAAGAAAAACCAAAGTTGCTGCCTTTGTCATGGTATTTCATCACAGTAATAGTAAAGTATAGTAAAGTAATAGAGGGCTGGAGTGATGGCTCAGAGGTTAAGAGCACTGGCTGCTCTTCCAGAGGTCCTGAGTTCAATTCCCAGCAACCACATGGTGGATCACAACCATCTATAATAAGATCTGGTGCCACCTTCTGGTATGCAGACAGAACACTGTATACATAATAAATCTTTTTAAAACAAAAGTAATAGAAAGTAATACACATAGCTATTGTCCAAACACATGTCCCCCACCCCCTTTTCACATCTCCTAAATGAGTCTTGAATCTGACTCCTTGCTTCTACTCTCTCATCCCTTGCCTATTTGGCTTCATTACAGGTCATCCAGACATGGTCATCAGAGCATAGAGCCTTGGAAGGTACCCAAAACAGTCCTTAGAGGTTCCTGGAAGAAAACAGAACTTCCAGGTTCATTTTTTCTTTACTACATAAATTAAAGCTGACTAGCAATAAAAGCTGATGGTATTTATCTACCTATACATGTTGTTTTTTGAGACAAGGTTTCTCTGTGTAGCCTTGTTGTCCTTGAACTCACTCTGTAGGCCAGGCTGGTCTTGATTTCATAGAGAACCATGTGCCTCTGCTTCCTGAGTTCTGCTTTCAATCCTTTTTATTTACTCATTTAAAGGTGTGTGTGTGTGTGTGTGTGTGTGTGTGTGTGTGTGTGTGTGTGTGAATGTATGTTATGTGGGAGTTAACAAGGAAGCCAGAAGAGGCCCTAGAGCTGGAGTTACAAATATGCATGGTGGTAACTGAACTTGGGTCCTCTGGCTTTTAACAGCTCTGTCACCTTTCCATCCCTATCTGTTTAATTTTTTAAAGTTCTATTTTATTACAAAACTTTTAAGGATTACATCTTTTTATTATTTATTTATTTATTTGGGACATATAGCAGTTAGAGGCCAACTTGCAGGCATCAGTTTGCCTGAGTAACTTCCACACATACTGATTAGGGGACAAGTGGCTCCCTCCTACTGTGACAATGGCCATGAGATACAATTGGTCAGGTGCATGCAACTAAAACCAGTCAGGATGCCTGACTGTCTACCTGATGTGGCAATGCCTGCTAGGCAAGTCTGGGCTAATGACTTAACATGAAAAATGGAGGACTTAGCAGCCTGCCTGCTGTGGTGGGGGCCAATGGGAAGCTGTTTGAAAAGTGTCTTCATATACAGTAAGTGCTCGATGAAAACCAGCTGCATGCTCCATGTGTCCAGACCCCATGCTGGATATGATGTGTTGTTTAATAGAGAAACAGGAATGAACAGAGTTAAAATAAACATTGGGATTTTTTGTTTTTGTTTGAGACAGGATTTCTCTAGAACTCACTCTGTAGACCAGGCTGGCCTCATCCTCACAGAAACCCACCTGCCTCCGCCTCCTGAGTGCTGGGATTAAAAGCGTGTGCCAGCACCACCTGGCTAACGTTGGGTTTGGTTTAAAAGAGATAAATGAGATGGAATTAGAATTGTACCAGCAGCCTTTGCATGCACGCCTCTGCTTCCAGCTAACGGGCCAGTTTTACATCACAGCGGTCCAAGGCCTCACTCTGCAAGGCTTGGGCTGAGGCTCTGTCTCTGTGACACCCTTAGAGAGGTCCATCAGTTTACCATGAGCAGCCTGGGAGAGGCTTCAGACGTGTCGGGATGTTTTGTTCAGAAGCAAACACAGACCACTGTGAACATGCCATTTGTTTGTGGTTGCTCTCATCACAGCGACACATCAAATAAGCATCCTCCTCCTCTAGCTATTCTTCCTGGCTCTAGATTCCCACCCAAAGCAGGCTTTCCTGCCCTGGAGAGGAGGCGGGGAAGAGGGAAAACTGAGTATAGAAAAGAGCCAGGGAGGAGGACGCTGGAGAGGCAGTGTGGGGACTGTTTCCCTAGAGGGTCAGTGTTTAGTTTCCAATACTCCACACTGGGTGGCTCACGACTGTTGTAACTCCAGTTCCCAGGGGATTCAGTGCCTCCGGCCCCCATGAGCATCTACATTTATATGTACAAACCTACACACAGACACACACACCTAATTAAAAATAATACACATAATTTCTTTAAAATAAATGAGTAAGGGAGACACTCCCACCCCAATACACAACACAACACAGCGTGACAGTCACTGCTACTAAAGAGAGAGAAAGGGAGCAGAACAGTAGAATAAAGACTATTTGCATAGGAAATTCAGGACAACAGACAGACAAGGCCCCTGCTCTGAGCCCCAGGTGCGGCTCATGGAAGGGACAAAGCCTGGGCCAGTCCTAAAGCCCAGCCCACATTGTTGGCTGGCCTCAGTGCAATCACTGTAAGGGCTGCAACCCCTTTTTGGGAATGCTGTAGAAAGCAGCCACCTGTGCCCTTAGGGAGTCACAGACCTCCCCTACCCCTGGCCCGTTTTACCACTCCCCCAGGCCCCTCACCTTGATAGATCACCATGAACTTCTGTTGCATTTGGGAAGTGTCATAGGAGATGAAAAAACAGAAGACAATGAAAGCCACCTGCACCATGAAGGCACACATGGGCAGGCAATAGCGGAGGAACCGTGGATACTTAGAGGCCATCTTGTGCCAGTTGCTGTCCCCAGGTTCTGCCAGCACCAGGCCTCGCAGGAGTCCCTGACATCCACTTGAAAGAGTGATAGGAGAGACACCCGCCAAAGGCCTTACTTATCTCAGGATGCAAACAAAGGCGGCTGGGCTGGCCTAAAGAGAGCAGAGGAACTTCATAGGAGGAAGAGGCAACACACACATTTATTCAACATGGCCGTTCATTCAGACAGTCCTAGCTAGATTCCTCTTGGGAGCTCCTGCTGTGCTGTTTTATCTATTATCTGTTTATTTTAATGATGTCTTTATTTTCATTTTGTGCGCATTGGTGTTTTACTTGCATGTCTATCTGTGTGAAGGTGTCGGATCCCCTGGAACTGGAGTTACAGACAGTTGTGAGCTGCATGTGGGTGCTGAGAATTGAACCCAGGTTCAGTTGAACCTCTCTCGAGGAGGCTGAACTCTGAGAAGAGCTCTAAGAGAAGAGAATTGGACCTCTGGAAGAGCAGCCACTGCTCTTAACCGCTGAGTCATCTCTCCAGCTCCTGATTTTATATGTTTGGTCTTTTCTGATACAGGATATAGCTCTGGAGCCCTGCTTGGCAATCATTATATAGACTAGACTGATCTTGGATTTTTCAGTCCTAGGATTCCATGCCAGCTTTGTGCATAGTCTGAAGGAGAGCATTCTATTCTATTGACAGCCACCCATTCTTTATATTTGTTCCTTTGATCTACCCTGTAAGAGAGGCAGGGCCTGCCTCTGGCTAGAGCTGATACTGGACTTCTGTGTTAGAGCATGAAGCAGGCCCAGGGTTCAGGTCCCAGTCAACTGTTTTGACAAAAGGAAAGGTGTCTTGGTTTCTTTTACTGTTGCTGTGGTAAAGTCCTCTGCCAAAAGCATCTTAGAATAGAGAGGGAATATGACTGTGGCATCCTGTTCTAGTGGCCAGACTTTCCCCAGCAATATGGAAACAAGTAGGAGCCCCAGGTCTTCACATGCAGTCCTGTACCTTCAGTAAAATCAGGGCTCTGCGAGAATATGTGACACCTTTCCCAAACCACAGTATGGCCGGCGTTCTGGCTTGAATATGGGATGTCCTCAATAGACTCTCTTATGTGTATGAGTATTTGGTCCACATGTATGTACCTGATGACCCAAAAGGTCAGAAGAGGCATTGGATCCCCTGGAATTGGAGTTAGGAATGGTTGTAAACCTCTTTGTGGGTGCTGGGAACTGGTCCCTAAAGAGCATGGAGCCCAGCCCCTTCATTTCTTTTTTTAAGATTTATTTATTTGTTATCTATACAGTGTTCTGTCTGCCAGTATGTATGTATTCCTGCACGACAGAAGAGGGCACCAGATCTCATTACAGATGGTTGTGAGCCACCATGTAGTTGTTGGGAATTGAACTCAGGACCTCTGGAAGAGCAGCCAGTGCTCTTAACCTCTGAGCCATCCCTCCAGCCCCCTCCCTTTGTTTCTTGGCTGTGAATGTGAACTGCAGCTCGACTTCCTGCTGCCATGTCTTCCTTACCCCAAACTGTAAGGCAAAAGTAACCTGTGTCTCCTCCTGTGACAGATCTGTTCTAGAATGGCATTGTAGGGACATGGTGAAAGGTAGGAGGAGGCAGGAGGTGGGGCTCTTGTAGAAAGTGGGCTAGTAGGGGTAGGTCTTGCAATGGCCCTTTCCTGTATTTTTGTTGTTGTTTTTGGTTTTCGAGACAGGGTTTCTCTGTGTAGCTCTAGCTGCCCTGGAATTTGTTCTGTAGACCAGGCTGGCCTTGTACTCACAGAGATCTGCCTGTCTCTTGGCTTCTGAGTGCTGGGATTAAAGGCCTGTGCCACCACTGGCTGGCCTCTTTCTCTCTGCTTCCTGCCTACCACAAGGTGAGCAGCCCTGTCCCATGCTCTTAGTGTGGTGAAGCTCACCTTCACCAGACTCAGAATCAGCAATTGACAACTATGGTGCAAGCACCTACAAACCCACAAGCCAAAATGACCATTTTTTCCTCCAGATTGTTCCCTTGGGTAGTGATGGTTGAGGTCACTAACACAGGTAGCGACCATGAGGTAGATAGGGCCTCCATTCTTTCTCTGGAAGATTTTCCACAACAAGGGTGTGAGCTTGCTCTAGTCATTAGGTGCTCTTTCACTCAATACCTAATGAGCTTTGGGACCAGGAAGTCTTGGTTGGAATCCTGACTGCAATTTATTAGCTGTGTGACCTTGGGCAAGACAATAACTCTCCATTTTCCTCTTTTTTGCATAAAGTTGGTGTGAAGGTCAAATGAGATGAGGGCCAGGGTGTGTGTGTGTCTCATGTTCACCTGGCGTGTGTGTAAAGCCCTAGGTTTGACCCTCAACACCACAAAAAATAAAAATATAAATAAAACAAATGTTTTGTGTATGTGTCCTTTTAGACATCTTCCTACTCACATCCTCCCACCACCCCACAAAAATAAACCTATACAGGACACAGTTGGGTGCCTTGCTTTTTTTTCATGAACAGTTTGTCAAAGCAGTTCCCAAGAGGATAGGTCTTTCGAGAGCATTTTAGCATGGTGAATGAGAGTCCAGGCCATGGGAGCATTGCCTGGGTTCGAATCCCAATTCTTTCACATACTGTGTGGCCTTAGCTAAGTGAGTTCACTTCTCTGTGCTGCAATCTTGTAATCTACATCGTGCTGTCAGTTATGATTTCTCCTTCACATGTTGTCATGAGGCTTAAAACAGAATGCATCTGACATGTAGAGCTTCAGTAGGAAGTGCCTGGGCCAGCAAGATGGCTCAGCAGATTAAGTTGTCACCGAGACAACACCGAGATGACCCAGGATACTCCAGGATCCACATTCCTTCAACTTGTCCTCTTACCTTCACACACACCCAATTCTAAATAAATAAATGCAATTTTAAAAACTGAGAAAAAATACTAAAATACCTAAGTACTGTGTATAACCATACTCAATGCTGCACAGACTTCCTGGTAGGAATGTGTGGTAATCCATTCAACCAACATGCTCTGTGGGACATCTGGGCCATTTCCAAGCTCACTTCCTCTTTCGCTTCTCACCAGACAGGATCTCATCTAATCCAGACTAATCTCAAATTCTCTGTCCTCAAAGATGCTCTTCAACTGTTCTTTTCTGCCTCCACCTCCCAAGCGCTGAGATTCTAGGCTTGAGCCACCATCCTTGCCAAACTGAGCATGTCTGAACACCGGAGAGTGTGCTTCCTTCATAGGTTCTCTGGGGCTATGCTGGCATGTATGTCAGTCATCCCAGCCTCTGGGCTTTGTTGGGACTTTGCAGGCACAAGGCTCAAGGCAGCTGGGTCATGGCTACCAGTGAGGTTGACAGCATGGAAGGTGCAGGGGGAGACCTGTGCAGGAGGCGGCAACACCTCTTCCTTATTTGTGAAATAGGATCATTCCAGCTCTGCTCTGAGCTCAGCTGATGCCAAATGCAAATCCTGGCATCTTGTCATCATAATAAGCCAGGAAGGACAGGAAAGGCCTGACCTCCTACCTGGCCTTGCCCCTCTGTCTCCCCACTCCCCCCCCCCCAGGATTTCTCTGTGCAGTCCTGAAACTCACTCTGTAGACCTTAGAGATCTGCCTGCTTCTGCTGTAATTAAAGGCCTGTGCCACCATAACCTGGGGCCCCTCTGTTTTCATTTTAGATAGGTGTATTAGTTACTTCTCTGGTTGCTGTGACAACAACAAACTGAAGGAGGAAGGAGGGAAGGGAGGAGGGCGGGAGGAGGGGACAGAGGATGGAAGAAGGATGGAAGGTGGTAAGAGGGGAGGGAAGGAAGGAGGGAAGGGAGGAGGAAGGGAGAAGGGAGGGAGGGAAAGGAGAGGAAGGAAGAAGGAAGAGGGAGGGCTGGCTGTTTGTGCTATAGCCTATCATGCTGGAGATGCCATGGCATCAGGATCTTGAGGCAGCTGATCACATTGCATCCACAGCCAAGAGGCTCACTTTCTTCTGTTATTCTGCCTGGGACCTGACCAGTGGGATGGTACCTCCCACATTAGGGTGGGTCTCTCCATCTCAGTTAACCCAATCTAGAGAGTTCTTCACATGCAAATGTTTATTCTAAGTCCCATCAAATTGACCTTCAAGATTAAGTCTCTCTCTCTCTCTCTCTCTCTCTCTCTCTCTCTCTCTCTCTCTCACACACACACACACACACACACACACAAAGTCCAGGCTAGCAGCAGTCCAGGCTAGTGGCCAATTATGTAGCCCAGGAGCCCTTGAAGTTCTGATCCTCCTGCTTCCATTACCGAAGGCTTAAGCATGCACAAGAATGTCTGATCGATGAGATGGTAGTGATGGGACCCAGGGCTTGGGACATGCCAGGCAAACACTCTATTCACTGAACCTTCCAATTGAGAGAAATCATCTCCCTTTTGTTAGTGACCTGTGAGATGGCCACCGTGGATCCCCTCTGCTTCCAGATGGGTAATGAAGCAAGGAAGCAGGTGGGATGTGTTCTGGAAAGAGGTCAGCTTACTTCTGTGTCCTCTGGATTTCCAGGGGCTATCTCGGGGCTTAGGAGAAAGGAAGGCACTTGGCTGGAGACTGAGGGGCATGAGGGAAGGACTCAGAAGAGGCATTCCTCTTCTGGCCTGTCCCTGGGCTCATGGCAATAACATCATTCTCTTGGGTTGACAAGAGGGCTCTGTGGGTAAAGGCACTTAAAGCTCGACAACTTGAGTATGCCACTGTAGCTCAGAAGGTGGAAGGGAGAACCACTCCCAAGTTGCTTTCTGACTTCTACACAAGCGTGTGTATCACTCCCTCCGCAACAAGTAATTTGTAATAAATAAAACACCATTCTTATCTTCTCATCCCAGATACATAGCACCAATTCCAGCTATCAGCAGCTGTCTGTCGCGGGCTCAGGGGTATGAGCCCGTCCCTGGCAAGCAGGTGTGGCACTAATTGCTCTACTCTATGAGCTGGGATGGTCAGAAGCCTCACTCTTTCTTCTGTAAAATGCAGCTCACCTTTAATCCCAGCACTTGGGAGGCAGAGGCAGGCAAACCTCTGTGA